GAATGTCGGACATTATATTTAAAGGATATTCTCAAACATCCTGGCAGTGTACGATGCTAATATTATATTCGCTATAAAAAAAAAGAAAAAGAAACAATTCACGTAAAATACCGTCGCTTGGAATTTCACGTGTTATTTATGTAATTGTTTATTTTTCTACTCATTCTTTTTCTCTTATCGTTTTTATCCCCCTTCGTAATACCGTAGGGACAATGATAATCGCAATGCTACCCGGCAAAAAAACGTTTAAGTAAAATCCCAATTCGCAGCGCTACTGAGATAATGTATATTATTAAATACTGTACGTATACATGGTGTATGATATTATAGGATGTTCCCTGTAATTAATGTAAATCTCTCTGGTCATTGCCAATTGGAGTTTACATAATAAAATAGGGAAGAACCTGTTCAATAATATAATAGGCAACAAATATACATTGTTCACTGAAACTTTCTCTTCGAGTTCCAATTAATTTAATGGATTTGTAATAATTGGTATTCGATTATCCTCCAGTCTAGAATAGTATGATGATATAATGCTGGCAGCTAGAAAACTTATGTCCATATCTGTATAATTATTTAAGATGATGAAAATGAAAAAAAATACGTGAGAATGATTGGAAGTAACTTTTGTATAATATAACTAACGCGATACGAATGACTGATGTTTACTGCGACTAAGGAATAAATTAATTGAGTAACCTTACGATACTACTGATTATTAGAACAATAAATTTCATTAAGGTTAATTGTTCATTGGACAAAATTATCGTAATAATCATCTTATTAAATTCTCTGTACTATCTATGAAATTGTTCCATTTATCCTTCAAGGATATTTAATTTTCTCCTGCAGTGTATATAGTGTGTTTGTGTATTTCAGGTACCTATTGAATGAAGTCATTATGCGGTATAGTTGATTATAAAAACAAAGAATTATCACGGATAAACGTTTAAAAAAAAGTGTGACTATTATAATTCTATTAATATAGTTACGTATAAACTGTTCTCGAAAGTTTCCAGTTTCCAGCATTCCTCTTCATACTGCTCAAAGTTACAGCGAACGTCAATAAACTAGCAACGTATCAAAATATATTTTCTGCATTTATCTGTTTGGTCTATATCCTGAGCTACTAACAGAATGGGCTTTTTCTATTATGAATCAATATTCATTCCCGCGATTTAAGTAAGAGTTGGAAGTACGAAGTAGAGAAATAGCTAACTCTATGCTTTATATGGACGTTTCATGTAGTCTTCGAGGCTTCTGCGAATCAGGTGTATTTTCTTTTTATAACCGACCAAAGACCGGTCCAAAAATGTCATGTGAAAATTATAATTAAATTGAAACCTTTTCTGCTTATTTCGATTCACTTTTTTGCATTGATAATTCGCATGATACTTCTGATTCATAGGTTTTCTCGCGATAAATCCCGAGCACGACTGAGGCTTTTTGTTGATACAATCAATTCCTTTAAAAAATAGCGCAATAACTTATATATTTAATTACAGTTGTTTTTCATTATGAGAACCAAAGGTGCGCGCCTCATTTCCTAAACGGAATATACTTCGAGTTTCTTGATTTTGGCTTTTTCCTCCTCAGATTCATCTCGGCAGATCATAAGCGTATGAGAAAGGCCGCAAGTTATAGCAGTGACGTACAAACCTTCCAAAGCTTTCACTTCCATTGGAGTGGTAGACGATTTACGGAGCTCCCCAAAACCCTGGAAAAATGAAAAAAAAAAGAGTAACTTAACATTCTGTTTAACTCATTAACGCTCAAGAAAAAACGGGGCAACCTGGAAAAAAAGACGCCGCTCACGCACGGCCTAATGTACGCTTCGTCGCTAATCACCTTCCACCCGTCCTTTTCGTTTTATTAAATAATTTATTTCACGTCATTATAACTATAAATCAGTAATGTTATGTATGTTTCATTAGTAATTTTTTACAAATCGCCATAAAAAATTCACGTCATATGTTACAAAAAAATCTGTAGTCCCTTGAGTCCAGGATTTTCGGATTGACCCTGTTTTTGCTCAGGCGATAATACATTAAAGACAATTTTTTAAATAGTCTGATACAACTTACCAACTCTCCAAAGGTAGGACTACCTCCCCAAGCAATAACTGAATCATCGGCAGCTACGACGACACTCGTTTGTGACACTCCGACACATCTGATTTCCCATCCTGACAGATCTTGAATTGGTTTTGGGTACATATTCGCTTCCCCAGTACGTTTTGATTGACCGAACATTAATGCAGTTCCATGAACGTTAATAGCAATGCTATAAGTACTTCCACAATAAACCGATCTGATACTACGATTTGGAGGTTCAAGATATTTAATCAAACGCGGTACTAATTCATCACGTTGTTCATTGTGGCCGAGACGTCCAACACCACCAAAGCCCCAGGAAAAGGAACGGCTTTTGCTGTCAATGGCAACAGTATGATAGTAGCCGCAACTAAAATCCGTGATCTCAACGCAGTCGACAGGGGTGATGTGTCCATCCTTTGATCTCTCAATGTACATTACAATCTTCTTAGGTGCTTTCTCAAAGTGGAAGGCCATCCTCGTGTTTGTGATGAAGTACTTGCCATCAGTGTTGTGTCCTAATGCTCCATACTCAGGGCAACCAAAGGAATGCAAACCACCCTTGATATCGAGTATCATTGAAAAGTCAGCACCACAGCCGATCTTGACAATAGGTGGACCACTGTATTTTACTTTGGTGGCTTTTGTGACACAGATATCTGCTTTTCCAATTCCACATTGGCCCAGTTTATTGTCGCCACACGCGTATACGATACCACGACTTGTAAGGAACAGAGTATGGCTACGGCCACAAAATGCTGCTATGACCGTTTCACCTTTGAGAGCTTCTACTTCTGTTGGGTCATCACGACGTTTTGTATCACCAACACCCAATTGTCCTAAAGATTACGATAGAAAGTGTTGATATCAAGAACAAAGAATACAAACATGTGTTTATTTTGCTTGATCCATTAATCCTGTACCAATGTAAAATTCTACCGATCAATAGAAGTATGTTAAATATCAGGCCCTAGATACCTTGAATATACATATTTGTCCAAATTTAATGGTAAACATAACCATACCGTGTATATTGATTCGTTTACCTTTCTGTTAATTACCTTTATCATTTCTACCAAATGCAAGACATCTATTATCCTCAGTTACAATGATGGAATGAGATGCAGCAGGACCAGAAGCAACCAGTCTCACACGAGTTCCATTCAGATTCTCAAAAGTATGTGGAGTCCAGAGATTACGTCCAATATTGACTTTTACACTCTTCGGTGGTGCCTTGCGGCCTGCCATATCCCAGTTAGTAAGTCCACACATGAGCAATGTTCCAGATTTACCCCAACCACCCTTAAAACAAACAATACTTTAAATAGAAAATTAAAAAAGTAATAAAATTTAAATACAAACATATGCCACAGACATTTCAAAGCCTCAAACAATTAATGTTTTCCTGTATTGTTTTTTTAAGTAATAGAAGCAAAATCCTTTTGTCAACTTTCTCCTAGTTCGTTGACCGGATAAACCAATTTAAGCACCCTTGTTAATTATTTCAATAGACGTTGAAGTCAGATTATGAGATCAGAAATAACATCAAGTCAAAAAAAATCACCTCCGGGGGCGGTAATTCAGGAAAAGCGGATACATCGGTGAGGTCATCATCCGCTGTGTCCTCACCATCGGCATTCGAGCCGGCGTCGACGGCGTCCTCGACTTCGGAATCGTGTTCACTCGAAATGTCCTCGTCGTCGTACTCGACTTTCCGCGTCTTCCCCCGACCTTTCTTTCCCGCGGCGGTGTTCTTGCGCTTCGTAGACATCTCGCACTAACCCAACACTCTTTTAACTATGCTCAAGACTAAATCCTTGTATCTTTGAAAACGTTTCCGAGGGACGCGGCGCGAATGACATTTATCGATGTAATGGCGGTAGAACGTGCTCTACACTCCGAATGCACAACAAAAACGCGCGGCCACCTGGCGCTCAAAAATCATAATAAAACCATGCTCGAACGATAAACGTAAACCATAAACCAGAGTTATTGTAAATTTCCCAGCTCGCGCTCCATAAACCGCTCACTTTAACACGAAGGAACGTTGATACTGAAACGGACTGTGAGACAGTAGCGGGAAATTCAAATATACTAACGATCAAGGTATACAATTTATTATATTAAATCTTAAATATAATTATAATATATGTAACTGTCGTTTTTATTTTATACGTCATATCTGCGGTAAATCTTTAACAGCTTTTTTTACACTGATAATTTTTATGGAAATTATTTATACTAAAACATAAGAAATATTCTTTTTATATTGAATAATATCGTATCGCTAAATATTCAGCGAAATTTTAAAAGATTACTTTATTATGAAATACCACTAGGGAACATAACGAAAATCTATGAGAATGCATATGAAATCGGCAGAAAACTGTATTACCGATGGATCGCGAGAAAATCGTGCTCCAAGCTCCTGGAAAACTACGCTGATAACAGGAGAGAATAGTTGCGCAATGTTTAATTTAAATTTATTGTTTGTGTTTACGTGTACAGTGTCAACAATCATATTTGCTTGATGGCGACCGACGGGACGCAAGGATTTTATAATTCCTCTGTCGCCGATCGTCAAACAATAAAAGCGTGGAAATGGAATAAATAACTCCGTCTCCATTTTTAGCAAATGATCCATTACGGATGTTTGAAGTCATACAATTTGATCTATATCATTTATTTTTTTCAATGAAATCCCCACCCTTATGACTAGACATATAAATATATAGTTTCAAATATATTTTTACTAAAAACGTTTATTTCTCTCAAAGCCCTTTACACGTATTTTAACAACGGTAGTAAATACAATTATCTTTTTCTATGTTATCAAAATTATTCCACAACAAGTATTATTCCAACGTATACTTAGTGTCGGTATCCTTTTGGCTTTTCGTAATAAAAAGATTAATAATAAACATCAAACGCCTACAGACGAGTTTATCTGCGATGGCGCCTGGACGATTGTGATGCTATAATAGGTAAATAAAAATAGCGCCACTTAATGCGAAGTTTCATTCACATTACTGGCTCGAGAGATCAAACTAGATAATAACGACGTATGTAGGTAACGTGCTCAGATCTCGTGAATATCAAGAGGTGCATGTGACTCTGCACGAAGGGTTGCGAACCGAATATAAATATTTGTACAGGAAGTATTATATAGGAAGTAAAGATTCTATATATTTCGACGTGACTATATTGATTTATTGATAATAGTAATTTTTAATAGACTTATCGCATAATGGTAACTGCCATTTATAAATCAATCTGGATCACGATTGGTAATCTAATCGATGACAAAAGAATACGGATGTGGTTGGATGGCAAACAATTATTAAGAAACTAGGAAAAAATTGTTTTTTTTTTAGTAAAACGTAATATTTATTTATTTATCATCGAATCAAGGATCTGCTTTGACGTCATCGTATTTACAAGGCTTTTTGTTTAAATAAGTAATATATTATACACAATGGTAACTTAATTCTAACAATTTATATAATTATCTCTAATAATGTCTTTGATTGGACTAGTTAAGTCATTTGCATCAGTCGAATTGGGCCTCCTGGTAAGGAATAACATTATATTATTAATCGTTAAATAATATGTGATAGTAACATGTAATGCAAGTCGTGCATACTTACATACTTCATGTGGGATAGAAAAATGTCATAGATCATCGTCATAAGATTGATATAGATAACACGATACTGAACGGGAACGAATAAAAAGTTAACAAATTGTGTAGGTGGCCAAAAACAGCAATCCACCTGTAAATAACAAAATATTTTGTAATATTTTTAATAACCTCCATTTCCACTCAATCTTTTAACATGATAAATATATTAATGTGAGGCTGTAGTGTATAATTGACTTTTAACGAATTTCAGAATGAAACAAGAAAGATCACTCTAAAAAAGCACGATATCACGACTATCAGTACAAACAAAGAAATTATAGTGAAGGAAAATTTCAATGTGTAAGTCTGACGAAGATCAGTAATCTGGCGCCCGAAGTTAATCTCCAGCCCCATAAACAATGCGCACCTTCCACGTGTCGACGAACTTCAGTTTCACCTCGTCGTTAATATCCTCTATTTTGCGCTGCTCCATAGCGCCAATCCCAAAGAAGAATATAGCCAGACAAGTCGGACTGGCCACGATCTGATCTATGAAAGTCTTTTTCATGACAGAACTTGTATTTCTGCCAGGCAGGACGCGGTCGAGGACGGCATAGAAATAGTGATGGAAAGGACCCTGCATCAATCCTACCGTAACCATATTCCTGGTGCGCATATAATCATGTTCGTAGCTTGAATTGTCTTCTGTTTTCTTTGGCAAATCCTCTTTCATTATTTCATCCTCCACTATTTCTGTAGGAAAATATTTGGGAAGATGATGGCGTTTCCAATGTTCACCACGTTGCTGGAGCCAATCACCAATTCCCATCATAACCCCGCAACTCACGATGTTTGTGGCTAGTAGATACTTTCCTGTAAACGAATAATGGATTGAATTATATTTTTTTGTTATTTGTTATATTTAGTCAGAAAAACATTTTTTGACATTAATTACAGGATGCGACACGCATTTTGAGAAAATCAACCAGTTTGTCATTTGTGTAGAACCGGTAGCCTGTTTTCAGGCGCAATTCTTAATGATCGATATACAGTTATGGTTTTAATATAAATTATAGTTAGGATAGAAATGATAAATGTAAACTCTTCTAAAATTATTATCGTTGGCAAGGATAGTTCAGACCTAGTCCAAATATTGACTGTATTTCTATCGTATTAATAGAAATGATTAAAATAGAAATATTTGTGTACTATACATCCGCAGACAACGACTATTTCCGCAATATATTACAGTCTCATAACACAGATGCGCACTTACCAAATAGTTTATGAAAAACACCCATTTACGTAGAGCGAAGAAAATTTATACGGAATAAAAGATAATGGTAATTATGGATAAACTCTTTGGTTCAAATTAAAAAATTTTTATTCCTCAAAAATTATTGACTGTTATACAGTATTATTCTTTTCAAGCTTTACCCCGTTCTGTGCTATCTTACGTTATAGAATTCGAATGAACACTTTCTTTAATAAATTCTTTGAATATACTTTAATACGTTACTACTTCACTATATTATATATAACGCGATTCTTAATTCTCTGATGCTTGAATAGACGGAATGTTGGTAGAACGTTGCGTGGCATAACGTTCCAACGTCGGAAATGATTATAAAAATATTTTTAATAAAAATACTCTATGCCAATTAGTAATTTCCACGGAGAAACGCGCTTCCCATCTTCTGTCAAAACTCGAATGTCACTGATATTTCATAACAGCGACGGTGCACTAAATAGACGCTCAGTGTCTGTCAAACGCGTCACCTGCGTTTGCGCATTCTCGGTCGATCGACTCTGACGCGTTTCTCTTATTTATTTTTATCACTCGCGTGACAACGCGGTGCATGTTTTTTATTCGCAACCTTTAAAAGTACAAACGCTGCTTGTACCTTTCGAAATAGTACAAAATAGTGGGAGAAACGTGGATCTTCTGGCCATGCATGCAGACTCTTCTTGCATACCACAAATTTTATTGCTCAAGGACATGTAAAGTGGCATTGTAAATCGTGACAGCTTCGTTCTATTATTAATGCAATGTTTGTGTTTGACAGTAAACCTTGAGAATGGAGGATTTTAATCAAGTGAGTTCACTTTTGTACGATTAACCCTTTCACTACTACGAGCCACTATAGTGGCCTTCCATAAGATAATACTAAGATTAACACACAGAATGGCATCAAGGAGGATGACATACTTGGATGGAGTTGACAGAATGTGATAATACTTGATATGTTTGAACTTTCTGTTCTTTATTAGAAGTCAGTAATCGAGTGGCTTAACAATACAGTGACAAAGTTCCCATGGATTACTTAGCAGCGACTGCCTTGGGTTTTGGTCCTTCCCTAAATCCGTTCCTGAAAAAGAGAGAGATATTAATTGTATATCATGTAAATAGTTTATACAAATCTGAAGGTGTAGATCAAATACTATGATATAATTATTACACACAAGGATTACTGATAACCTAACCTAACAATAATATCCATGTTAAAATAAATGTTTAATTCAAAACTTACTTGAACTTGCGACGGACAATCTTAAGATGTCGCATACGACCAGTACCAGTGGTCTTCCTCCTTTTGGCTTTTATGGACCAATTGTCTAAAAAGATATTTACAAATAAAACTCAATGTACTAATTTAGTACCACCATTACTTTTTTGAATTTCCATACAGTCTATTACTTACAGGATCTCATCTTTCTCTTAGGATAGCCACATTGAGCACATTGTGACTTTTGGATATGGTATGAGCTGCGGCCACATCGCCTACACAGCGTGTGGGTCTTATTACGCCGCTTACCAAAGCTTGATGTACCCTTCGTCTGTAAAAATTAATAGACCTGGTAAATAATTCATCATATAAAATAACACAAGCTAAGTCGCCGAACACTTTGTCTTGAACTCCAACAAAGTCATCAGCGACGAGACATAAACACTTCAGCAATCTTTCTTGCCACGGCGTTGAAGAAAACAAGCTTGTTAAAATAGTTTAATTCAATTACAACATCAATTGAAATGCAATGAGAAATTAAACTTCATCAAATAATTGTCATATGCATTCACAATGTGACCATACATAAACACTAAGGTCCCTAACCTTAACTGCTAAAATCCGACATTCCGAATCTACAATATATATTTTTCCTAAAACTTTACTATCACACCAGAATTAATGTCTAGCTTTTAAAAAACTTTATATTGGTCTGACCAATTATCGTGGCAATAAGATTGCTGATTTTCAAACAGATTTCGATCACCGTGAAGCACGCTCACCATTTTATACGAAGGATCACTTCAAAAGAGATGAACTAGCGCGTTGCAAAATGACACCCGGCGCACATTCCAATATGGCCGCTGTAGACCGGAAATTGCTCCCAGAGCCTCGAAAAACATTCCATGAAAAAGTTAATAAGAAACGGTGCTCAACTTTCGTAACATTTGTATAAAATTGAAAATCTTTCATAGTTGAACTTGATAGTGGGTATAAAATTAAACGATTAAAAGTGTATCTCATATACAATTTTATATTATAAATTTGTTCACATTTTAAATACAATTAAATTTCCATAAGCCTATCCACATCGGTTAGAACTTCACGACAGTGACGACTGTCAGCTACCACAATATGTTGTGCTCCTACAAGACAGTCCTTTATTTCAGATCCCTCTTGAATGACACAACCATTGCATAGGATGCAATTTGTAATCACACATCTAAAAGTGATATTATTCATATCAGTGTTGAATTAGGTGTTAACAAATATTTGCTGCGATATCCTTACCTTTGCTTTATCGTTACATTTCCCATTATAACACTTTGTGATATTCTTGTCTTTGGTTCAATGACAACATTGGGTCCAATATGATTTTGTTTTACTGAGGTTTTTTCATCTATAAATGCATTCTCATCGATTCGACAGTTTTCTACTTGAGTACTTTTTACTGTTGCACTAGCAGATATTTCAGGTACTGAAATCTTGCCTTCGGTTAGCGTATTCCACCATTCTGAATTCTGAAAGTGTATAGAATTGTTTTTATTAGAAAGAGTTCTGTTATATTCTCTTTCATCTAAACAATAAATTCTAAATAAATTTTTTACGTACTGTAGATCTTGATAGGTCACTATTGGCTAAAGCATACATTTGGATGGTATTGGTTCTTAAACCAAACTTTCCTGTCACTATGTGAGCATAGCAACGTATCACATCCCCATGATACGCTTCCTCAAGATCCGTATTGTGGTCATTAAAGGCAGACATTTTTCTTATTAATGTATCCAGCGGTTTTTCAACAGCGAATCGGTAAATGTCTTCTTTAGTGTCTAGTCGTACGATTGAAGTATTTTTGTCATCTGCGGATTGCCTAGGTGGTCGAGACAGCTGTTTAGCAACTATATAAGGCAATAACTCACCCTTTAGTGTACTAAAACTCCTGTAGGATATAAATATGTTATTATTGTGCTTTGTGTAAATATTAAAATTATATCAATATAACGAGAAAATTCTTACTTGTTAAAAACCAAGAAGTCTAAAACCCATTTATTAATAACATACAGATGTGCATCCATCCATTTTGAATGGATAGTGAAGCTGGTATGCTTTTTAAGGAGTTTTCTTGATAAATTGATAGTCTCTTCAAAATCAGATGCAGATGCTAGAAATACTAACCGTCCAGTTTCATTATCAATACCAATTAGATCTGTTTCTGGTTTTTGTTTACTCTTTGGTCCTGGAGTTACAAAATCATCTGGTACTTTTGGAGCAGGTACGATTAGAGCTGTTATGCTAGCATTATGTTTCCGATAGGAATTAAGAATATCCGCAATATCAATTTCAGTAATCAAATCACAAGAGATTACCACAAAGTCCACATGGATTTTTTCATTAATTAGCCTGATAGAATCTGCTGTGCCCAAATCTTCACCACCAGGAATGCCAACAAAATCCAATTTTATTTCAAGATCCAATTTGTCAACTGCTGCAGCCACATCATACTTTGCTGATTCAGATACCACAACTATTGCTTCATGAAATCCAGAACGTTCAAGAAGACGTAAAGGATAGAAAATCATAGGCATATTGCCAATAGGTAGAAGACATTTAGGTCGTCCAGCTGTAAGCTCTGTCATACGTGAGCCTTTACCTCCAGCTAGAACAACTGCTTGGAATTCCGTACAATGGACCATGTTTACCAAGATTCTCCTTAACCTTTTCTGTAAAGTTATAAAATTTCTATGATCATTATCCTCTATGAAATAACACTATTTAAATAAGAGAAATAATTACATTATAATTTCTTACATTTACCCTATCCTACTGTTACCCATGCATTCCATCAATTAACATTAATAAGTTACCTCATATAATTAATAGATACTTCAATTTCAACACAGTAAGTACATGAAATAAATTACCGAATAATACTACAACTTACAACAGAATTTTATTACAGTAATAAATATTTGACAGTTAGATTAATGGAATCATGAGCCTGTCCATCAAGCTGCAAAATTTATTAAAAAAAAAAAGTACAAGGAACTACATAACTTCCATGAAACTGTCAAACCATTGAATGGAATATCGTATTCGTTGAAAAGAGCAGTACTTCTCGACCGATAGGGTAACCCACTGTTTCACTAGGAGTCAACTATAAGCATCCCTGTAGAGGGCATCAAAATCTAATAGCTTCATACGCAGTGGTCTAAATTCTTCTTTTGAAAACGTATTTTCCAATATAATACGGGCCGTTATGACATAATAAATTGAAGAGCAGCCTCAAAAATATTCTGGAGCACCACTTTGTGATCGATTATCCCGAACTAAGGTTTTATTATATTGGCCGTATTAGAACCTTCGGAACCCACCTTAAGGATGGGTTGTATTGACATCGATTCCTTGTCGCAGCTTGGAGCGTATTTGCGGAGTGAGTACGGTGACTTTTGAAACTCGATTAAACACCTATAGTATAATTTTTTTGACTTACAACAATCAAGAGTACGGTATCTGTAATGCAACGTTCTCGTGTGACACTTGAATTGAGTTACGGTTGATTTATCAATAGTTTTCGCATTGCTAGTGCTTCGGTGGTGAGAATGACATATTTCTCGCGAAACGTGCGTGCCGAACGGACGAGAAGTGTTAATTGTAATCGTAGGTAGCGACCGGCGAAGAAATGGCAGTATCTGGCTGGATGAATTGGGGTAGGATCCTCCGAACGAGCAGACCACACCGTGGTACGTCATACATTACAGTAACATTGTCGCTTAAGAACTCATTGAGTTTAATTCACTAAGTTTTTTATTGTAGGTCGACAAGATAACGAAGACAGTAACGTGCAGCTTGATCTGTCAAAAGGTTAGTAACCTAACCTATTTTGTGGGGCTTGGATATGTTGAGGATGTACAGTTGTTATATAGTATGTTTTGAAATTTTTTACCAAATAATTCACTGTATAGACACATAAGAATGAGGGGAGAAGGTACAATGCTTGTTATCGATAAGAACATTTCTTGCTTAATGTTCTTCTCATTTGTTTTAATAATGTTCTCCTCATGGAATGAAAGTAATAATCTTATGTTTCAAAAGTAGTGTTGCCAAGGTACAGTTCAATATTTTTGAATTAAAATACCTTCTTTTTCAGATTTAAAAGAAAATATAAAAGAGGTTTTAACAAACCTTTGTCAACGTCAAGGAGTTTCAAGTGTAAAAAAACTAGCATATTTGAATGCTATTGTGAAGCTTTTGGATGAAGAAGATGATACTGACTATGGCTATGGTACAGAGGAATTACTTTGTTGGTTAGTTTGCAAATTTGGCTATTCATATTTTAATCGTAATCATACTTTGAATTATAAAATTCTAGAATGTATATTAATATTGATCATAATCCCAAACAAATTTTATTATTTAAAGTTTACGTGTGGGACTTGTGCAAGAGGCGACACAAGTGCGTGCGGCTGCGTTACGGGTGGTGCGCTACATGCTCAAAAAGGAACAAGACATTGTTATGATGAACAAACTGCAATATCCATATCTAGTTGCACGCAGCATGGATGTCAATCTGCGAAATGAAATGGAAAGGATCCAAGCTCTAAGGCTTGTCAGAAGAATATTACTATTGTCTCCAAAACACTTTAGTCCCGCTTTAGCACGATCTCTAGTGAGTCTAACAAATGGCGGCATTGAGGAGAAAGACCGTTCTTTTCGTGTATTCCTAGCGACTTTATGTGAGCTGGGAGTTTTAAATTCCAATTTACTAATAAGCTGTGGTGGGATTGGAGCATTAGTTAGGGCAGCAATGACCACCCAGAGTGCTTCAATTATTGAATCTGTAGTAGGAGTGCTTCTAAGGTTGCTAGCAAATCCTGACACCAGGAGTGGAGTGTCGCTGTTGTCACTAGCAGCTCCTTACTGCGAACTGCATTCCTATGGGATAGAGTGCACGAAAGAGGAACGTGACCAGAGATTCGCTGCAAGCAAATTAGCCTTACTGAGTGTATTGCGCTCTTATTCTGGAGTGATTCACTTCTGTCATCCAAATAACAGTTCAGGACTCCGTGCCATCTCAGACGTTTTATACGTTGAGCAACTCGAAGTGCGTGGTGCAGTGTTAGAACTACTATATGAACTACTTGGTTTGCCTTTACCAATGTGGACAGACGAGCCTGATGTTGCACTGGCTGCGGTAGACCCAAGTCGATTTCGAGATTCTTGGAAACTGTCCGAAGGCTTCATGGTTGCTGAAGGAAAAGCAATCCTACCATCGCTCTCCTTTCATTGTCCCAACATCACTGAAATTCACCTGTCTCTATTGGTATATGTACTACTCGAGTGTGGACTACATAGAGCCCTTGCAGAAACCATCGTTACGTCCGATACCTTCATCTCCGTACGAGCTGCAGTACTTCTAGGAGCCTTGCTTCATTTAGCTCATTCGTTACTACCTCCGGAAGTCTGTGATCTGACTCCACCGTTACCTAACCTTCTGGAACATGCAAGTACTGGAAGACATCAGGCTCTTGCAGCTGTAGCCATACTAGGCCGAATGCATGCCATGATGCGTCGAAGACCAGGGCCTGTTAGTTTGTACCTAGATCGATTGTTACAAGCAGGTTCCTGGCTACGTCCTACGTTACCGCGAAGACAACGTTCTACAAGTCGCCACTGGCTACGCCGTGAATCTCCTACAACTCCACTTCTCAAGGATGCTCAAGTACTCAGTTCGAAGGATGCTTTGGCATGGAATTGGCCAGTAGTACGTTCTATTTTGCGTTCCCGAGAGGATACCTTGCGAATCCTTCACGATTCGGATTATAGATTATTTATTAAACGTTTAGTTCGCTACTTCAAGCCATCCTCAAATAGATATAGTAGAGTCGAGCTAGGTACTAATGCGACGTTGGCTAGAGAAGCTACATTAGCTGGCTGTGACCTACTTAACTTTTTGTTAGAATTGCATGAAGCGGAAGGAACTAGACTTTTACATGAACTCGTTGAAGATATTGCTAATCACGTAGTAGCAATTCGTGCAGGTCAATCTGCCCACGACTGTCTATTCTCACCACGTCACATGGTCACGACGTGTTGTCAGAAGTATTTCCTGTTCCTGGGCCAGTTAAGTCACTCGGCAAAGGGCACAGTGATCCTCAAAAGTTTTAATCTCCTAGATAAGCTCCAAGAATTAGCACTTTATACAAATCATGATTGTTACTACAAACTGGTCCTGTCCAGTCTCGATTATTCGCGAGAAGGTCCAAATCGCAAAATCATGAGCAAAGTCATAGCAGAGGCTCCAACGGAAGGTGCGCGACGTTATGGTACACAATTATTAAGATTAATACTCAGGTCAAAAATGTCAGACGCATATCGATGGGCTTTATCTTTACTGGCTGACAGATTGTCAGACATTAGTAAAGGGGTATCAAGATCTGCACTTGACGTATTGCATGAAGCCTGCGAGGAACCCGAATACCGGGAAGCACTTCTTGAGCAAGGACGTCACTACAGGAACTGGGACCTTTGGTTGAAACCTCTAGGTGAACGTGGATATTTATTAAAAGTGAGAATGTACTCCCTACGAAACGGATTCGCAACTATGTCGTCTCCAGCTGAAGAACTAGAAAAGTGGATTGGACCAGGTGGCTTTGCAGAACGCTACGTCGGTTTAGTGGAGGAAGACATTCATGATTCTTTGACACGTCGTCAACGAGGAGAAGACGGAAACTATCACAGACGAACAAGTAACATACTTCCAACACCTCGCGATGTCTTCACACCTCCTCATCTGATAGGTCAACTGGCGCAACACGATTCAGGGATGCAACTTCTGATACGAAGAAACGTGGTGCAGAGATTTGCACGTGTAATTCAGAGGTTTAGAATGGAATTTCGCACAACAGACACTGAGTCTACCTCTAAGGGAAGTAAGGGTAATCATCTGATCCTAGAAGACGCTTATCTACTCTCCGAGGAATCTGGCACGGATGATACTGTAGAGTCTAATCGGCTAGAGACCATTGTGGACTCTGAGATAATGGAGATGATAGAATCTCGTTCACCTCGCAAGGCGGAATCTCTGCTGGAGATTCGCCGGAAGTCGAGTCTCGATGACTCCAGACGTACAACACCAGAAAGAAGTTGGAGAGGAGATCCAGAATCACGGGAAGAGGCTGCGCGGAATTTAGACAATAGTATCCTCAAAGTAAAAGCGGCACTCTGGTCACTGGGACACGCAGGAACGTCTGTAGCTGGAGTAGAACAACTAATGCATCTAGGTATCATAGAAATGATAACGGCAATGGTGGAAACGTGTCCATATTATACAGTACGTGCAACAGCCATGTATTCTCTGTGTTTGATTGCTACGACTCGTGCTGGCGCGGATGCATTGACAGCTTTTGACTGGCCCAGTGTTAGATATAGACGTGGAGATCAATGGCCGGTAGTACCACCTACTAATAATTATCCAGTGCCAAGTCCGGTTCCTATTCAAAGGCATCACCGTAGTTTGAGCGATGGCAAACCGGAACTACAGCAACCTGTAGCACGGAGAACTAGGAACCGGTCTGAAAGTGCAGCTACGGACCTTGAAGCTAGACGATATGCCTTACCGTAAGTATTTTAGACAATACTTATATTTTTTTTTAATCCATGCTTAATGTATGTATTTTATTAATATGTTCTTCAGAGAGAGGGGCGAGACCCCGAGTCCTGGTGCAAGTAATCAGAGGCTGAGTCAGCAAGATGCTGATGGATACGCACGGCTTCGCAGTTTGCAGCGTCATCGTAGACCAAGTTATTCTCAAAATAGTTTAGAAGTACGGCCTTTCGCTGATATTAATAACTTTTATTCTGCAGTCTGAGAATCTTTACTTACAATTTATTGTACGTTATCTTTCAGATGCATAGCTTAGATGGGAGACTCTCGTTACAGAGTCTTTTAGAATATGAAACCTCTCGCAGCTGGGCTCCGGATCACGTGGTATCTGCGACGCCACCACCTACGGAAGACGATAACCTCAACGCACGTTACATGGGTATATGCCTTCCTAGGAAACTCAGTGAAATATTTCCAGATCCACCGCATCCAACACCTTCCATTATATTGGATGATTTTGGTAAACCGGATGTTGAGCCTAACGAGATGGACGAGGAATCAGGATCAGAATACGATGCTGCTGGGGAACACTGTCGCGTGTGTTTAATCTGTTACCGTAAAGCTAACAGTAAAGAGACTACTATCGGGGATACAGATGGAAAGTTACGGAAGTGAGTAAATATTGTTACTAAGATAATTAATTATTCTAAGTTCTTATTTATATTTATTTTTATTTCAAAGGGAAATACTGAGACATGTGCAACGTTTAGCAAATCCCGTTTGGTATAGACACAGTCGTCAAGTCCTACTTAGGTTAAGGCAAAGATATCCTGAAAAATTTCAGGTAAACACGTCAGTCTTATTATTTTTAAGATCAATCTCTTATTTCGCTGAGAGTTAAAATATTATATTTACTCGGCAGGATACGTGCTTATTTTCGGAAGTTGCTACCCGACTAAGCAGCGGCACTTACAGACTTCCTGCCCGACGGTTTTTACAAGAATTATTTTTGGATTCACCGTTTGAGGCGGTAAGTATTTCTATTGTCGTTTTTACTTTGATAGCTACTATATTTTTTGTTTTGCTTTAAATAGCTGTATGCGGAGCCGATGCTCATCTTGGAAATGCCTGTGGGTACCGAAGAGAATCCTCCGCAACCATTGGTTCCTACTTCTCCTGCGCAAAGTCCGCGGTTATCAATTAGTTCTCCAGAATCAAAAATAAATGGACGGCCTACGCTATCCGACAGTCAAGTTGCACAGTTGTCTGTGGTGAACGAAGAAGCCACCGGGGAGCCACGCGCTACGCAACCACGCAATAACAGTCAAGTTGTCACGAGGATAACAGAACGTCGTAGCGACGAGAAAATTATAGCTGAGATTTTAAAGCCTGAAGAGAGAATACGAATATCAAAGAGTTCCGATAAGTTATTAAAAGTCACAGGTGCAAACACTGTCATTAGCCTCGACTAGTTCTCCACATATTTCAAAATATCTGTACATATTTTATATTAAAGTAATTGAGCAAGAGGAAATAAAAACAGACACTGCCAGGATCCTTTTTCCATTTTATAAACTAATACAGTCAATATTTATATCCTCGGTCGCCACTAATGTTCCAGCCATTCTCTAAATACTGTAATGTAGTTACAGAGTTTTACTCGCACACCATACACAGTGGTGTAAGAATATTATGCTAACTGAAAACTCGATTAAAATGACTTGCTAATCCAGAAAAGCGTTTGCCAAATAATGATGAAATTATGGATATTTTCAGAAACTTCTTTTTCTGTATATTCTACCGTTTGAGGCTAACAAAGGTTACCAAACGAGTAGCTAACGTATTCTGCACTTCCGCACGTTTTCCTAATCATTTCCTAATCATTTACTTACTCAAAGCGATAACTTCAGCAAGTCATTCTGAAAAAATATTATGCCACAATGAATATATCTCCACTGGAATCGAAAGAGAGTTGAAATACATCAGATATATACGTATAGTTTGCTATTATATAGACATGTAATACATATATTTAATCTCCCAACTTGACTTCGATGGGAACAAGACTAATGATGACATCTATATGTGGAATTCGAAACTCCTTGTGATGATATCAATGACTTGACAAATTCTATTATCATTAACAAATTACAAAAATTTTATAAACACTGTGCAAAACATGAAACAGCAAAAATTTTTTCCAGCATTTTTTTCAAAATATTATTGCCAATATCAAATTTATTGTCAGTAGATGATTATTGAATCATGATCTTTATATCTTACACGGTTATCGCAAGTTATGTCTAATTGCATTAGTATCTTCGACGACCTTATCTACTGTACAATGAAACAATTGCTAACGCTAATCACCATAAATTTACTAGTCACTATCCTTGACACATTTGAAATCATGAATACCATTAGACACGTATGAAATATACCTAGTTGATTATTTTAAAGCACATTATTTTACATAATAGCAGTCATCTTTTCGGTCAGACGTCACTACTCAATTTGTAACTTTTTTCATCATAAGACTTTGTAGTTTTCCGATATGTGTAGTGTAACTGGAAGCCTATTACTTTATAACAGCATAAAATAATGCTGATCAATTTCAAATTTTCAAAACGTAAACCATGAATTAATTATGTTCGGTCTTTAATATCATAAGAACTAACAAAAATGCTTTTTACTCAAGTATAGAATTTAAGGTCATTGTCATTAAGTTACTGATAGCGTAGATGGTTTCGAGTATTGTACAATCAGAGTAATTTATGCATACACGCATATTGTATATCTATAGATAACTGCACAGGTATGTTTAGAAAAATTCATGAATAAGAACTACGATCTACAAGGTTTAAGTATACCATATGTTTCTAATTGAATACACATGAACCATGTAGATAGATAGTATACGAGACATAATTCATAAAAAGACAGACAGATAGTACAGGCACCGTGTCATTTAGTCATTATTTATTAAATAACCTGTAGTTGAATAAACTTCTTAGTCTTTCGCGAAAACTTCTATCCAAACGTAAGACAGGTCGCTAGTCAACATGGTGAAAGCGAGGAAATATTTAATAGGCAAGGTTTTTGAAGGGGAACCAAAACGCTCTGACTTGACGCTTGTTGAAGAAGAATTGCCGCCTCTAAAGAATGGAGGTATTGCCTTAGAATTACATAAAGATAATATGACAATTCTATTTGTATTATTTGAAAATTTATTTTACAACGGACCGAGTCCATTTCCGATCGTTCCGCAACTTACCCGTCATTCCCTATGACGAACGTCCTGGAATGTACGATGGCAGGAATTTAAAAAACTCACAGATTCTGATCAAAATTCGAATCATCCTTTGAACTGTCGAGAATCTGTTATATGGTTTCAGTTAGCCGAACATCTCTTGTCTAAAAAAAGAAGGCGAAAAATGGATAGGAAGAAAAAAGGATTGCAAGGCCTGACAGTTTATCTAGAAGATTCTTTGGCTTTGCTGTGTAGCTTTAGTGTGTAATGCTAAATTATAGTGTTTGCTGATTTTTAAAATAAGTGACAAAATTAATGCTAACAGATTAAATTACGCCGATTAAGTTGCAATTAGAGTCTTTTATATTTTGTTAATTATATTTTATGTGATTTCATATTTTTTCAGATTTCTTAATAGAAGCGGAATACCTATCGGTGGACCCTTACATGAGGGGTTTCACACCTGCTCTAATAGTTGGCAATATTATGATAGGTACTCAAGTAGGTAAAATTATAGAATCTAAAAATCCTGGTTTTCCTGTTGGTCGTCGCGTTGTCGCAAACGTTGGTTGGAGAACACATACTATAATCGACGAAAAGGCTATTGCCAAGAATACATGGTTGGAGACTCCATATTTAATGCCTGACTTTGGGAATTTACCGTCATCACTTGCCTTAGGAGTATTCGGAATGCCTGGGTAACTGTAACATAATAATGCATTGAGTGGACAATGGTCTAATTACTTCTAACGGATTTACCAAAGGCCTTAATAATGTCAAAATATTTATAGAAATTCGGCTTACTTTGGATTACTCGAAATCTGCAAGCCAGAGAAAGGCAAAACCATTGTCATTAGTACAGCAGCTGGAGCTGTTGGATCTCACGCGGGTCAAATAGCTAAAATGTATGGTTTAAAGGTTATTGGAATCACTGGTTCTGATATTAAGTGTAAATGGATAAAGGAAGACTTGGGTTTTGATCATGCGATAAATTACAAGACACAGGATATCGACGCCGCCCTAAAGGAGGCTGCACCAGAGGGTGTTGATTATTACTTTGATAACGTATGTATAGAATTTCTTATCTTGATATATAATTTTTAAACTTTCCCATTCATTTATATACATGCCATATAATAGGTAGGAGGACCCATATCCCGTATAGTGACAATGCATATGAATTTCTATGGAATAATTGCTGTATGTGGATGCATTTTTTTCTATAATGCTGATCCGAATACTGTAACGGAATCTTGTGTTATACAAACACAATTACTTAAGAACCGATTGAAGATGGAAGGTTTCGTCGTGTACCAGTGGTATAACCGATGGTTTGAAGGCATAGAAAAGAATATTGAATGGATTCGCCAGGGAAAAGTGAAATACAGAGAAACCATCACTCATGGATTTGAAAATATGTTTGATGCATTCGTAGGGATGCTACGTGGTGAAAACATTGGAAAGGCTATTGTTAAAGCATAAGAGAATAAATACTGTACAAAATTGAGTTCTGTGATTTACATACGTGAGTTATGTTTTGCACCACTAATATTTTGGAAAAATATGGAACTAAAGTACTGGGAAATAAACTTGATAACCAACAAAACACTTGATAGAACTTCATACCTATAAATCTTCACACTGACATAATTTTTTGACTGAAATCCATACTTTGATATTGTATTATTTAATGTTAGGTTACTCATAGTATAGATAAGTTTGATTATTGTACAGTCTATAACATTCCACTTATATACATAATATACATATAGATAAACGGATAAAAGAAGTAGGCTTGTATACGAATTTGAAACTGAAAATCTCAATGGATAAGTATTATCATATTGTATAATTAGACGCAACTCATACAGGAATCGAACGAGAGTTGAAATACATCAGATATATACGTATAGTTTGCTAATATATAGGTACGTAAGATACGTATTCAATCTCCCAACTTGATTTCGGTGGGAACAAGACCAATGATGACATGTAGTTATCTGTATATGGAATTCGAAACTCCTGGTGATGACATCAATGACTTGATGATTTCTATGATCATTAACAAATTACACAAATTTTAGAAATGCTGTGCAAAACATGAGACAGCAAAAATTTGTATCCAACGTTTTTTCAAAATATTATTGCCAATATCAAATTTATTGTCAGTAGATGATTATTGAATCATGATCTTTATATCTTACACGGTTATCACAAGTTATGTCTAATTGCATTAGTATCTTCGACAACCTTATCTACTGTACAATGAAACAATTGCTAACGCTAATCACCATAAATTTACTAGTCACTATCCTTGACACATTTGAAATCATGAATACCGTTGGACGGGTATGAAATATACCTAGTTGATTACTTTAAAGCACATTATTTTACATAATGGAGCCATCCTTTCGGTCAGACGTCACTACTCAACTTGTAACTTTCTTCATCAAAAGACTCTGCAGTTTTGGGCTATGTGTAGTGTAATTGAAAGCCTATTACTTTATAACAGCATAAAATAACGCTGATCAATTTCAAATTTTCAAGACGTAAACCATGAATTAATTATGTTCGGCCTTTAATATCATAAGAACTAACAAAAATGCTTTTTACTCAAGTATAGAATTTAAAGTCATTGTCATTAAGTTACTGATAGCGTAGATGGTCTTGAGTATTGTACAATCAGAGTAATTTATGCATACACTCATATATATCTATAGATAACTGCACAGGTATGTTTAGGAAAATTCATGAATAAGAACTACGATCTACAAGGTTTAAGTATACCATATGTTTCTAATTGAATACACATGAACCATGTAGATAGATAGTATACGAGACATAATTCATAAAAAGACAGACAGATAGTACAGGCACCGTGTCATTTAGTCATTATTTATTAAATAACCTGTAGTTGAATAAACTTCTTAGTCTTTCGCGAAAACTTCTATCTAAACGTAAGACAGGTCGCTAGTCAACATGGTGAAAGCGAGGAAATATTTAATAGGCAAGGTTTTTCAAGGGGAACCAAAACGCTCTGACTTGACGCTTGTTGAAGAAGAATTGCCGCCTCTAAAGAATGGAGGTATTGCCTTAGAATTACATAAAGATAATATGACAATTCTATTTGTATTATTTGAAAATTTATTTTACAACGGATCAAGTCCATTTCCGGTCGTTCCGCAACTTACCCGTCATTCCCTATGACGAACGTCTTGGAATGTACGATGGCAGGAATTTAAAAAACTCACAGATTCTGATCAAAATTCGAATCATCCTTTGAACTGTCGAGAATCTGTTATATGGTTTCAGTTAGCCGAACATCTCTTGTCTAAAAAAAGAAGGCGAAAAATGGATAGGAAGAAAAAAGGATTGCAAGGCCTGACAGTTTATCTAGAAGATTCTTTGGCTTTGCTGTGTAGCTTTAGTGTGTAACGCTAAATTATAGTGTTTGCTGATTTTTAAAATAATTGACAAAATTAATACTAACAGATTAAATTACGCCGATTAAGTTGCAATTAGAGTCTTTTACGTTTTGTTAATAATATTTTATGTGATTTCATATTATTTCAGATTTCTTAATAGAAGCGGAATACCTATCGGTGGACCCTTACATGAGGGCTTTCACACCTGCTCTAATAGTTGGCAATATTATGATGGGTACTCAAGTAGGTAAAATTATAGAATCTAAAAATCCTGGTTTCCCTGTTGGTCGTCGCGTTGTCGCAAACGTTGGTTGGAGAACACATACTATAATTGACGAAAAGACTATTGCCAAGAATACATGGTTGGAGACTCCATATTTAATGCCTGACTTTGGGAATTTACCGTCATCACTTGGCTTAGGAGTATTAGGAATGACTGGGTAACTGTAACATAATAATGCATTGAGTGGACAATGATCTAATTACTTCTAACGGATATATCAAAAGTCATAATAATGCATAAATATTTATAGAAATTCGGCTTACTTTGGATTACTCGAAATCTGCAAGCCAGAGAAAGGCAAAACCATTGTCATTAGTGCAGCAGCCGGAGCTGTTGGATCTCACGCGGGTCAAATAGCTAAAATTTATGGTTTAAAGGTTATTGGAATCGCTGGCTCGGATATTAAGTGTAAATGGATAAAGGAAGACTTGGGTTTTGATCATGTAATAAATTACAAGACACAGGATATCGACGCTGTCCTAAAGGAGGCTGCACCAGAGGGTGTTGATTATTACTTTGATAACGTATGTATAGAATTTCTTATCTTGATATTTAATTTTTAAACTATCCCATTCATTTATATACATGTCATATAATAGGTAGGAGGAGCCACGTCCCGTACAGTGACAACACACATGAATGCATATGGAATAATTGCTGCATGTGGATGCATTTCTTTCTATAATGCTGATCCGAATACTGTACCGGAATCTTGTGTTATACAAACAGAGTTTATTAACAGGCGATTGAAGATGGAAGGTTTCGTCGTGTACCAGTGGTATGACCGATGGTTTGAAGGCATAGAAAAGAATATTGAATGGATTCGACAGGGAAAAGTGAAATACAGAGAAACCATCACTCATGGATTTGAAAATATGTTTGATGTATTCATAGGGATGCTACGTGGTGAAAACATTGGAAAGGCTATTGTTAAGGCATAAGAAAATAAATACTGTACAAAATTGAGTTCTGTGATTTACATATGTGAGCTATAATTTGCATGAATATTATGGAAAAATGTAGAACTACAGTACTGTGAAATAAACTTCATAACTAATAAATAATAAATACTTCATAGAATTTTATAACCTATAAGTCTTCATACTAAAAACTTTTTTTACTGAAATGTATACGTTGATATTATATTATCTGATGTTAGGGTACTGATAGTATAGATAAGTATGATTATTGTACAGTCTTTAACATTCCACTTATGTACATAATATGTAGATATACAGATAAAAGAAGTAGGCTTGTATACGAATTTGAAACTGAAAATCTCAATGGATAAGTATTATTATATTGTATAATTAGACGCAACTTATAAAGATAGTCGTTTGCAACAGAATTGCCTATTTTCTACTGAATATCATGCAGTTAAACCAAATTCTGAATCGAGAAGCATATTCCAGCAGAATGGTTAAGCTGGTTTATTCAAAGGATTGATTAATGAAAGATACTCGTCATCTGTTTTTACCAGACATTGATTCGAACTGCTGATTTATGGCCAATTTCTTCATCCTCGGTTAAAATATAGCCTGCTGATAAATCTCCACCTAACCAATCATTTTCATGCTTTAGGCGTTTATCTACAGATTAAATTTTAACTGAAGGTGAAGTAACTGGCCATTAAAGAACAAGAGAAACCCTCAGTCTATCGTAGACGCTTTTCCAGTTCGACAAGCAAATCGCTATCCACGAATATGGTACAGACGCAGAAATATATACTAAGCAAACAGTTTGAAGGCGACCCCAAACCTTTTGACTTGATGATCGTTGATGAGAAATTGCCGGCACTAAAAAATGGACGCATGTTTCAGAATGATAAAGACGATATAAGATTTATTTTTTATTTGTTTATGTGTTTCTGCTTATCACCGTGATCAAACAGAATCTTGAATGAAATCTAAATCTTCAATGTTACAGAATATAATAATATTAGTGCATTAAGCAAAAGTTGCTGCCTGCTGTGACGGCGAAGTAATTGTATTATCACAGCAAACTTCGTAATAATCAATTTTAAATCTTTAAGTAGTGTATCATAAAGAAGTAACATTTGACGCTTGATAGTATTTATCATGCTATTTATAAGAAGAATACATCCAGATACAGATGAAGCAAATGAAAAAGTTTCTTATATAACACAATGCCGTTATGTATTGGTTATTTGCATGTGATTTACATACCTAACATGTAAATATAAATCAAACCGGTATCTTAAGGAAATCCTCGAATGAGAACCAGGATGATCAAAGTTCAAGTGTTGTCATATGGCATGAAATTTAATCTAGTTCTTTGATATCAGATTAGAATTCCTTTATGGAATCAAAAAAGAATTAGATAAAAATGACATAGTCAGTACGTCGTAATTTGATTCATAGTGAATAACATGTAATAGAAATTTTCGCCTTATAAATACTTCAAGAGAAGGGGAAGATCGTTTGAGAGAATGATTAAGAATACGAGATCCCTCTTAGTTTGTCACGGACGCTTGTTCGGTCTACGCGAAAACAATTCGATATCCACGATGGTGAAGACCCAGAAATATGTATTGAGTAAACAATTTGAAGGAGAACCTAAGCGTTCAGACTTAACCATTGTTGAAGAAGAATTACCGCCGCTTAAAGATGGAGGTATGTTGCAATTATATTTATATATTTTGTTTGACTTGTATTTCATGTAGATTTATATATTATATTTTAGAGTATTTGGTTGAAGCAGAATACCTATCGGTAGATCCTTATATGAGGGCCTATGTACCTAGGTTACCACTTGGTATTACAATGATTGGCTCTCAAGTAGCTAAGATTATCGAATCTAAGAATCCTGATTTCCCTGTTACTCGTCATGTTGTGGGTAACTTGGGTTGGAGAAAGCATACCATAATCAGTGGAAAACATGATACACCCATTACAGATAATATGGCACCATACTTATTGCCTGATATTGGAGATCTACCTTCCTCTCTTGGTCTAGGAGTATTAGGAATGCCAGGGTAATCATAAGTAAATTAGACAGTACAAAATTGTGATTGATTTAAAAGGAATTGTGTTAACGTCCAAATATTTATAGGAATACAGCTTACTTTGGATTTCTTGAAATTTGTCAACCAAAGAAAGGCGAGACTGCTGTTATTAGTGGAGCAGCTGGAGCTGTTGGATCTCACGTAGGTCAAATAGCTAAAATTTATGGTTTGAACGTTATTGGAATTGCTGGTACTGCCTCTAAGTGCAAATGGTTAAAAGAAGAACTGGGCTTTGATCATGCAATAAATTATAAGACACAGGACATCAATGTTGCTCTAAAGGAAGCAGCACCAAATGGAGTCGATTGCTACTTTGATAATGTATTATTACATTTTTATATCTTAAAAAATAGTTATTATCTTAATCATTGATTTGTCTCCATATGTCATGCAACAGGTGGGAGGAGATATATCAAGCACAGTGTTAAACCACATGAATCTATTTGGGAGAATTTCTGTCTGTGGAAGCATTTCATCCTACAATGCTGATCCAAAGCGTTTGCCAAAATCTCCTGTTATTCAGCCAGCTTTAGTTTTTAAGCAGTTGAAAATGGAAGGTTTCATTGTAAATAGATGGAAGAATTGTTGGTTTGAAGGAATTGAGAAAAATCTTGAATGGATCCGTCAAGGAAAGCTTAAATACCATGAAACTGTTACTGATGGATTTGAAAATATGTTTGACGCATTTGTAGGGATGTTAAATGGTGAAAATATTGGAAAGGCTATTGTTAAGGCATAAAAGAAAAGTGCTGTATAAAACATATTCTACATGAAGGATAAACTGCAGAATACGACTTCTTTTTGCAGTTAACTGTGAATTGTTTAGTTTGTTTCATATGAAACTCTTCAAGAAAGGGTCATATTCTGCAATTTTACCATAATAAATTTGATAACATAAGAATTAACTCCCTTGTGGTTATATTTATGGTCTGTTATGGTCCTTGAATAGTACCTAACCCGAGTATACTCAGGGTAACGCTTAAAGAGGGTTAATAAACGCATTAAAGAATTTCATAATCCATAAACAGATGTACAGAAAATAACAAGACCAGTACATAAAAAAGAATAAACTAGAGACCTTTATGTAGTGAGATTTCTGTCTGATTTGTAAATGATGGGACGAGTTAAAACTAGGATGCAAATGAACACTTCTTGTACATGCTCGTCTCCCTCATGGTCGAGCATATGATATCCTGCGTATTCAACGACAAGAATGCTGTAACGACGTTATGTCACTGTAATCTGAGGACATAATTTAAAAAAAAAACGACTCGATCAAAAATATTAATATTTCCGGAATGCTTTCAAATTCATTTGAAAAAGAATTCTTCGAGTCACGTGCCTAATATGTTGTAAACTTAACAACGTGTAAGAAAGCGCCGCCTTGAGTCAATCACGATAACTAATTTGTAAAATGGTAGTCGATTTTGGGGCATAAGGTGACGTGTCCGTATTTTTCTTAAATTTGGGCAATTATCTTACAATATGAACGCATTTAAACGTGACAAGAAAGAAGAGGAAGATGGTAATTATAACTTATGATCATTCAAAGCATTAAACTCTTAAAAGTATATTAATAATCATGGAGCAAGAGAATGTCAGCATGCGACCTGTTTGACAGATCCTCAAGTATTTGTTAGTTTATCTTTAAAGTCAAGTATTAATTTATGAAACAATATGAATCCTCCGGTTCTAGAATACATAAGTTATGTTCATTTTATATTAACGTAGTTCTGTTTCTACACTTCATCCTGCAATTTGATAAGGGCAACTGAATTGCATTGATAGGAAATCAGGAGCTGCATCCTTTTCTTGTTTGACAATTTAAAGTAGTATTTTAGGAAAATTCATACTTTGCATTAATAGCATTTTTGTATATGTTTGTTAAGGAGGAGGTAATCCATTTCAAAATATGGAGAAGACTACAGTTCTACAGGAGGCACGTACATTTAATGACACTCCAGTCAACCCAAGAAAGTGCGCTCATATTTTAACTAAAATCTTATACCTGATAAATCAAGGAGAGCAATTGGGAACGACAGAAGCTACGGAAGCTTTCTTTGCTATGACAAAGTTATTTCAATCACGTGATGTTGTCTTGAGACGATTAGTCTACTTGGGAATTAAAGAGTTAAGTTCAGTAGCAGAAGATGTGATTATAGTCACATCAAGCCTGACGAAGGATATGACTGGAAAGGAGGACTTATACAGAGCTGCTGCCATTCGTGCTCTTTGTACAATTACTGATGGTGGTATGTTGGCTGCCATTGAGCGATATATGAAACAGGCAATCGTAGACAAATCCCCAGCAGTATCCAGTGCTGCCTTAGTTTCCTCACTGCACTTAACCAGTGTTTCTGGAGATGTTGCTAGGAGATGGGCTAATGAAGCACAAGAAGCATTAAATTCGGATAACGTAATGGTCCAATACCATGCGCTGGGTGTATTATATCAGGCTCGTAAGTCTGATAAGCATGCTGTGACCAAACTGGTCTCAAAGCTGACTAGAACCAGTTTAAAGAGTCCTTATGCTGCATGCATGTTGATAAGGATGGCTTGCAAACTACTAGACGAAGACGAAGGAGCTGGAGAGCTTTATGAATTTGTAGAATCATGTCTGCGCCACAAATCAGAAATGGTCGTTTACGAAGCCGCACATGCTCTTGTCAATCTGGGTAGAAGTGGAAGCAGAGAACTTGCATCCCCAATCAGCGTACTGCAACTATTCTGTGGTTCTCCAAAACCAGCTTTAAGATTTGCAGCTGTACGAACACTGAATAAGATGGCTATGTCTCATCCAGCTGCTGTAACAGCCTGTAATCTCGATTTAGAGAACTTAATAACAGATTCCAACAGGTCAATTGCTACCCTGGCGATCACAACACTCCTTAAGACTGGTGCAGAAAGTTCAGTAGACCGTCTTATGAAACAGATAGCGACATTTGTTTCTGAAATCTCAGACGAGTTCAAAGTGGTTGTTGTACAAGCTATAAGAGCTCTTTGTCAAAAGTTCCCTCGGAAGCATGCCGTCCTGATGAATTTCCTGTCAGCAATGCTCCGCGACGAAGGTGGACTGGAATACAAAGCAGCTATTGCTGACACTATAATAGCTGTGATGGAGGGTAATACGGAAGCTAAAGAAGCTGGTTTGGCTCATCTCTGTGAATTCATCGAGGATTGCGAACACACATCCCTGGCAGTTCGTATACTTCATCTTTTAGGACAGGAAGGTCCAACCTCAAAGCAACCTTCACGCTACATCCGTTTTATTTACAATCGTGTCATTCTCGAGAGTGCGAGTGTCAGAGCAGCTGCAGTGACAGCACTGGCCCACTTTGCAGCTTCCTGTCCTCCTTTACTCCCAAATGTCCTGGTACTTTTGTCTCGCTGCCAATTGGACTCTGATGATGAGGTTAGGGATCGTGCTGCTTACTATTGTGCTATTCTTCAACAACAGAATGATCCCACTCTCCTACCTCTCATACAGCCGCCTCTTTTATCTATTCCAAGTCTTGAAGGAGCTTTGCGAAATTACATAAGAAGTTCTATGGATCAGCCATTTGACATCTCACAGGTAGTTTGCTGTTGTCGCCTATTTAAAAGTGTCATTATTACTGTATTATCATTAATTGTAATGTTTTGGAATTTCCTACAGGTACCACCAGCTCAAACGGTGGAAGAACCTACGCAGACAGAAATACTTTCTAATATCAAGCAGCAACCTCGTTTAACAAGAGAAGAAAGTTTCATGGAGAAACTCTCACAGATTCCACAGTTGGCTACAGTCACTCGGGACTGTCCACTGTTCAAATCTTCCGCAGTCTGCGAATTGACAGAATCTGAGACAGAATATAATGTGAAATGCGTCAAACATTCGTTTGCCAATCATCTCATTCTTCAGTTCGACTGTTTGAATACTCTTACCGACCAACTACTAGAGGATGTCAGAGTGACAGTCGAACCACCAGAAGGGTAAGTTTTGTTTGATATGAAGTACATTATACGTTAACCTGTAGAATATATTTTTTTGTATAGTTATACACTCATTGGCGAAATACCCTGCCCTCGTTTGGCGTATAACGAACCTGGAACAACTTATATTGTATTGGAGTATCCTAAGGATATTCAAGCAAGTGTTGCCACGATTCCAACTACCCTTAGATTCACAGCACGTGATTGTGATCCAGCCACTGGTATTCCTGATGCTGAACAAGGATACGATGATGAGTATATGGTAAGTAGTGCTGCAGCGTTACCTTAGTGGTATAACTTTTGGAACATTTATTAAGTCTATTTTATGTAGTTGGAGGATTTGGAAGTGACTCTTGCTGATCAAATGCGAGGCTCCGCTGGTAGAGGTTTGGACTTCAGTGCTGCTTGGGATGCTGCAGCAGCACGGGGTTTCTCTGAGCTCGAGGAGACCTTTGCCTTAGGAGCATCTGTCACTACCTTAGAAGCAGCTGTACGAAGTCTTATCGGTTTCCTTGGACTTGGAGCAGCAGAACTTAGCGATCGCGTACCATCCGGTACCGTTGGACACACTCTTCTACTGGGTGGTGTCTTCAGAGGGGGAAAGCAAGTACTCGCCCGGGCGAGGTTAGCCTTAGCGGACGAACAAGTTACAATGCAATTATCTGTTCGATCCCCGGATCCCGATGTTGCTGAACTTATCACTTCCTCCGTCGGTTAAGAGAACCTGTGTTAAATTCAGTATTGTTTCTCTAAGGATGGATTCAACAACATTGTCTGAACTGCACACTTCAAGTAAAATGTACAGGGATACCTATGAAAACACCATTCATAGACCATTTACAGAGCTATATTAGGTACTAATCGAACTATAAATAAAGATGTATTGATTAAAAGAAGGGGATCTTAATAATCCCTTATATTTTAGATTGTAATCAACCCATGAAATTTTTAGCAACTAACTTCTGTTATCGCTTGGGACTACGTTGATTTTACCTACTGAGCAATCTAATTGGAAAACTCCAATTAGTTTCACTTTAACGGATCGATTACAGTTCTACAAACTGCTAAAAACCATACCTATATAGGTGTAATGAGATATTTCGTCCGTTACTGGCATGTGCGGGTCTTTCATCGATCTTCAGCGTTCTGAATCGTAATAGAAAGCTCAAATCTCTTATTAGAAACGAGAAATTATTTAGAAGGACCGGAGGTTATTCCATTTTCAAAATAACCTTATGTGGTAACGTCGGAGTCAGATGGAAAGTGATAGAGTTTTCGATTAGGTCGACATTTTTTGCACCGAGTGTGAGGTGTAGATCTCTTGAGTGCAAGCTTTGCATTGCGCGAGTGTCACGGGGTGTACTCAGTAGGTAAGTTAACTCGTAGTTCAGTGTACACTGAAAATTTAAATCAAACATAAGAAACTTCGCATGAGCCTACTGGTCCCTTCAATCAAATACGCTCGGAATTACACTATACACCCGGTGTAATCAATTAAGTCAAACGAAAAGTATTAAATTTGTTGGTATAATTTTAGTATTGCGTTTTCCATCTCCCCTGTAGGTGGTCTGTTCTGTTTCTCTACGGCAGTTTCGCACGTTGTTTGATATTGTCTTAAAAATGGCTGCCGTATTGGATGAAGTCGGCAAATCTGCTGAGAAATTGGTAGACGAGGAAAAGAATGAACTAGTCCAAGAGGAGGACGAGGGTGGTGCATCCGAAGCTTCTAAGAAGAAGAAGAAGAAGAAAAAGAAGAAGAAAGCTGGTGCGGTGTAGTGTATTTTCTGGGGTGTTTCCCTTGGGTTTCCAGCCGCTCACAGACAGCGTGTTTTCGAATTACTATATACGAATTTAATTGGGAAGTCCACTATTGAAGAAGGTTGTGGGGTCATTGCCAGATCAAATTCATTTGGAAGCCGAGAAAGTTTAATTTTAAATTATGATAAAATTAAGAATTTTTTGTGGGATCGGTTATAGGTTATTGTTGCAATTCTATTCTATATTCGTAACAAAGGTCGATGAACGACCAAGTTTTATGCAAACATTGATTAGATTAATGTAATGCCTAATGTCGACTTATTGTTTTTTCTAGGTTGCTTAACCAAGTTAGAAAGCTAAATAATCTGAAATAATACTATTGACTAAATGGTCTATGTAGGATTGAATGTATAAAGTAATTGTTGAACTGAGAGTTTGTATTCTTATTTCATTCGAATTGGTTATTGTAGGTGCTGGTGAAGCTAGTGCAGATATTCCAGAAGGAGAAGATCCTAAAGATGAAAATAAAGCAGCTGAAGGTATTATTGTAATGCATATCCTTTAGTTTTCTATTAACAATGATAAAAGTTTCTAAATAAGAGTAGGTTGTTTTATATATTAAAGAAGTGATGGCTAAACTGTAGAATACAACTCCTTGAATTTAGCTGTGGATTTTTTAGTTTTTTTAACATGTCCTTCAAACAGGAGTCGTACGCAGTTCGACCAAAGTAATATTTATTTTGTGTAAATTCTATTTAAAGGTCCTTCTGAAGCTACTGAAAATGGAGGAGAACCTGAAGAGGCTAAAAAAAAGAAAAAGAAACGTAAACCACGTGGAAAAGGTGCTGGGATCAAACAGCAAACAAATCCCCCATCGATTCCAGTCTCTGACTTATTCCCAGATGGGAATTATCCTGAAGGACAGATAATGGATCATCCTTCCACAGGTCGAGTAGATGATAGAACAGCCAAAGATCGTTTTACCAGTGAGGAAGCTCGTGCCCTGGACAGGATGCACAATGATATTTATAATGAAGCAAGACAAGCAGCTGAAGCTCATCGTCAAACAAGACAGCATATTAAGAACTGGGTGAAACCAGGCATGACCATGATTGAAATCTGTAATGAACTGGAAGACACTGCCCGCAAACTCATTGGCGAGGATGGTCTTAAGGCTGGACTGGCTTTCCCAACAGGATGTTCTAGAAATCATTGTGCTGCTCATTACACTCCTAACGCAGGCGACACAACAGTTTTACAGTACGACGACGTAACCAAAATTGACTTTGGTACTCATATTAATGGTCGTATCATCGATTGCGCATTCACCTTGGCATTTAATCCAAAATATGATAAGTTAATTGAAGCTGTACGAGATGCCACAAATACTGGCATTAAAGCTGCAGGAATTGATGTTCCACTATGTGAAATCGGTGCGGCCATTCAGGAGGCCATGGAATCCTATGAAATTGAGTTAAATGGAAAAACTTATCAGGTATATTAATGACAAAAGATCTATTAGCAAACAACAATTAATGTCAATTGGAAATGTATCATTCTTGTTTTTTTCTAATTTTTTAGGTGAAATCCATACGAAACTTAAACGGGCACTCAATCGCACCGTATCGCATTCATGCCGGGAAGACAGTGCCGATCGTGAAAGGTGGTGAAGCCACAAGAATGGAGGAAAATGAATTTTACGCTATCGAAACTTTCGGCTCTACAGGGAAGGGAGTCGTGCACGATGACCTGGACTGTTCTCATTATATGAAAAGCTTTGATGCTGGATTTGTCCCTCTACGACTTCAAAGTAGCAAGTCTCTTCTGAACACGATCAACAAACATTTCAGTAAGTATAGACCTATAAACATTGATTTGTTAGAAAGTGTGAAACACATGGGATGATGCGTGGCGATGAAAGACAAGGGATAAAAAATATCTCAAAGAATGTGTCTACTACGGAGAAGAAAAAATGGTTATTATTTCTTCATTTTTCCAGGTACTTTGGCATTTTGCAAACGTTGGCTAGACCGTGTGGGTTGTACGAAATACCAAATGGCGTTGAAGGATCTCTGCGATAAGGGAGCAGTGGAGCCTTATCCACCTTTGGTAGACATCAAAGGATGTTACACCGCCCAATTCGAGCATACCATTGTTTTACGTCCAACTTGCAAGGAAGTCATTTCCCGTGGTGATGATTATTAAATACCTGCCCAAATATAAAAGATCATTTGATTGCAAAGCAACTTTACTGTCATGGCGATTGGGCATTTCGCTATATATCCAAAGGCATGTGGCATGAGGGACGAATCTTATAATAAATTGCGTATTACAGTTTAACCATTCTGTCCAGTGTCATTGTTCATCCATGATGATTAAGGAATGAGTTTCAGTACTGTTAAGAGCTCAGTATATTAATGCCAGCATTTAAAAACAATCGCTCTGGCATTGAAGTTGAACCACAGGACCCATCTTTGAACCTTTCGGAAAAGTGTTTCTTTTTAAATATATTTCTGCAAATACCTTTTGATTTTTATTCAACCTTCGTGACTTTTCTTTTTAAATTCCCATGCCAATGCTTTATTGACAATCATATGTCAGAGTGGCAGCTACAATCTATGTCCAGAATGTTACATCGCTCGGGTTTTATCACACAGCCAATGGGCGTAGCCGCCGTATAGACATTGATAAGGATTTCATAAGATCTTTATTTTCATTATATATGCAGCTTTTTTTTAAAGCTTTCCATATGCAGAAATTTATGAATCCACTAATTACAGGGTTAGGGTGCAATAACATTAGGTATTTAAAGCTAGCATATTATTAAATTAATATAGTACAAACATGATTCTGACAATGGAAGAGTTCACATAATAACGAAGGCGGACATTTTCACTTCTAGAACTGTTAATCTCAATGACAAATATTTAGGTACATTTCACGTGGTCCCGGATTTCACAAATATAGTTAAATAGGGCACTGACGATTGTGTGATTGTGAATTCTTATTTTAAAAAAATAGCTCGAACGCGCTTTGCATCACTCGTTACATCTGCCTAATCACAGGCACGGCTAATCATTAACTGGACAAAATACCAATCGATGAAAGAGAGAGAAATATATTTTGAGTTCAATCCAACGAAATGGCCGACATGAATATCCTAATCTATTGATAAAAAATCTGGAATCTCTAAGCAGTGAAAATTAGCGAATGATGATAGCCAAACATCGACAAGGAGAAAAAATAAAAATAAAATGACTCAAATTCTTCATCGAGTTCCTCCAGAGAAAAAGGTGGTGCCTTAATAATAATCACGCAGGTCTATAGTCTTATATTTATATACACAGAGTCCTGGATCATTAGAGGTAAAAACATGAGAACATGAAAGCATCAATCAACAATCATCGACAACCTCGCGATTGGATAGTTACTGTTTTTTCTCCCTTATCATCATCGTCATCATCATTCAGATACAAGGATATAAAATTTTCTTTGTCAAGGCTTTCATCCTTTACTGAGAATCCACGCGAGTCCTTAATTTCGCTCTGGCCGTAACCAGAGGATTTGGCGCTTCCGTATGCTGCGATTCTTCCTGTCAAATATGATCAACCATTGCACGTCATTAAATACAAGATTTAGTCATGAAACAAACTGAAAGAAAACTATTGATTACCGTTAGCTGAATATGCTTTGCTCTTTGCTCTATCGCTCTCTGTAACGCCGTTCTTGGATCGTTCTTATAATACTCTTCCCGGTGTTTCTCAGCCTCTTTCCTCGAAACCGCCTCCCGGTGCCTGTCCAGGGCGCGCTGCAGCTCGCTCTTCTGATTCAGTACGTTCTTTCCCCTATAAAAGAAGACACAGTGACGAGTACAGATAAACAGTGACGTTACTCCAGAACTTTCACAAAAAAAAAAACGAAAAAAATAGACCCAGAGAATACTCAATAAACACAAATAACTCACACTTTCTGATTGAAGAGTAACTCCCTATGGAGATCTTTGTGCTTCCCAGATACCATATAAGGATTGTACGGTTTTCTAGGTAGTATCAAACCATCTGGCCCCATGTGAGGAGCTGGTGGCGGTGGTGGCGGACCTCCCAGAACAGGGGCCATCTCCTTTCCTAAGCATAACAACAACAAAAAATACATAAGTAAAGTCATAAACAATATTTACAGCCAAGCCATTAACGATAAACGCAAATCCAATATCACCACTAACAGATAACATCTGTTCCTAGACTCTCACCCTCTAAAAATGCAATCATCGCCCTGACGGAGCTTTCCTCCTCGCACATAGCCGCATAACAAACTAACCGTGCCAGACCAGCAGCATACCAGAGCAACGGTATCAAAGAAGTTGCAAGCTATATATTTCTGCATAGGGCTTCCTGTGACTAATCAGATCAATTTCACGTCTACACCGTATTCGTGCATACATATATTGCATCCCAAGGTGACAGAAGTAAATACAGTTAAGGACTAAGAAGACAATGAGTCTGTCAATAGGTCACGTGTCCTAGAGTCAAAGCGAAAGCTCATTAACTTTCGATTACACGTCAAAGCGTGAAACACGAGCGAATCGAAAGATCATTGAGAATTGTCTAGATGGGTACAAGCAAGTTCCATTAGAAAGGAAACGGTCGACGATGCTAATACGTAGATTTTCTTGCCGATTGGATACAGTCGTAAACTGGTGCTTCTTGTACCATGAATTTTTCCGAGTAAATTAGTTTCATGGGATGAGGAACCAATTATTAATTTTTATATATAGTTATACGATCAAAAAGAATTTCGTCTTACGTCTCATTGGCGCGCATCGAAAGTTCTTCACTTTCTCATCGTACTTAGAGATAAACCGACGTCGGTTGTGTAGTCGTTATGAAACTTTCCGTGCGAATGCACCTTTATTCGTGGGATGGATCGTTAATATGACGAGGGATATAATATACGTATATAGAACCATGTACAATAATGTTTACTACCGTATATAAACCAAGTGTGAGTAAATAGAGACGCGCTTCGGTGGCATTCCACAAATTGTCATGCGCCACCTGGACAAATTGGATGTTAGGGATATAAGAAAGTGCAAAGGGAGACAGAGAGAGAAGCACGTGCTCGAAATTACTCGTCGTGACGCTTCACGCAGTGAGAAAGAGAGCGAGAGAGAACGAATGAAAAAAAGTATAAACAAATTGGCAAATGACGTAGAGACGTGAAAAGATATTTGCAATTATTCGTCATTCTGTATCATTAATCATGAATACCATATGAACAAATTAAAACGTGCAATCTGACGTAGCTGTAGATAAGGTCTGTTTACGTGTATTATCTTGAAAGTAAAATTCTTAACGGATACTATACACTGCTGTCATTAAATAACTGTCGGACAATAATAATTCTTGCGCTGTACTTTTCTCATTTTCTCTAAAGAAACATTAAGTGACACATTGGAGAGTCGATGAGGATATATTCTATATGACTTTAAAAAGCGTTATACATGTATATCTATATATACAGTCCGTATACCACTTACACCGGATATCCTTTGTGAGAACTGGGAGAATTTCGTAATTGTGATAATACTTGCGGCCAAGTTATTGTAATTATTAATCTCAAGGTCGGTTGTGGCGTGGAATCTATTTTAGTCTAGAAGTAAGAAAGAATGAGAGAAAAGGTGTGAGAAAGAGACCTTGAATTATAACCATAACGTTTTATCCATTATTGAGAAAAGGTATATTGTTATGTGTGTGTGTGTGTGTGTATATATATAGCTTCGTTATTTTTCCTCAACGTAATTATCTGATGGCCTCCTGAGTGTAAAGCTAACCTAACTTTCCTACAGTATAACTGCAAAGTATAATGGGGCGGACTCAGATGATTTGGTTTTACGAGCTGAAAGTGAAATTTCCAGTGGTAAGTACAAATCGACCAGTCAGTCATCCTTTGGTATATTAATTAACGCGATTCACGTATAGTTTGTTATCGCTGGACCTTCTTTGTCTTCCATATTGTATCGTTAATGACGTCTATTTTGAATTACAAAAATGCTTCTAGGTAGGTCTGTCTTGAACAGTATTGCGTCTTAACTGACGTGGGAACGAACTACGTAACTCGCCCGCGGAAAGAGAGTCCCTTTTGCTCTTGGAATTTAATTGGATAAATTAAGATAGTTCTGCCGCGCACAACGAGGGAATGATTATCATTGTACTGCTGTAATAAAATGCATTCGAGCAATGACTCACCGTTTGACAAACCGTTGCAGCTGTCCAAGTCGTTCTTCACGCCGTTAGTGACCACCTGTAGACAAAATATAATGTATGTATTATGGATATTAGAATAAAATTCTTACAAGCTAGTTGATAGATAGGAATTAATGTGATTAAGACGGATTCGATTTGATCTTACAAATCTAAGGATCAAGAGTCACGCTTGAGAATTCAGAATAACGACGGTACAGGCTAATCTAGATTGAATTCTACAAAATTATCATTTCATCTGACACTGAACGAGCCTAGTACTGTTATACACGAGTTGATCTTGAATAAGACAAGGAATAAACAAGGATCCTAAGCAAAGCAATTTTACTGTTATTCCCACACGCATTACAATAAGTGTCCTAAATTTTTGCATGACTCGTATATACGTGCCAGGCATTCACGAATTTTCGACTAGTTATTCTGTACACAGAGCTACATAGTAAAGTTAAGCGTTTTATTTCCTAGACTTTCTTAGTTACCGTGCGTTTTTTTATTTCTCTTTATAATATCAACGTCAAACATGATTATCTAAACGTTCACTATGTTCGCCGCCGTACAATTTGGCTACTGACAAAAGATATGAGAAATGAAAGTTTGTGATGAATTATACTCTCTCTCTCGCTCTCTCTCTCTCTCTCTCTTTCACTCACTCTAGTCACTTATAATTTCACTGGAACCACACTGAAGTTTATAAAAATAATCAAGAACTTTATAACACAGTCACGATAGCATCAAAATCTTATGAAATTGATAGGATCAAACAGGATTGAAGAAGCAAAACATCCATAACAGACATTAACGGCTGCTCCTGCAGTTCTGCACTTTACCTCGTTCATCGTAGGAAGTCGCTGCTGTTCGATTTCCATATTTAGCCAATCGATTCCTATATATAATTTTCTACACTTAGATTATTCGTGAGTACTTAATACCCAGTTCAATACTCTATACTGTACAGCCAATGTGTTTAAACACGTTAAAACGATACTAGGAAATAACGTACCGCTGTATGACAATTGAGAGTGGGACTCATATGCATAATATAACATTGCCTGAAGGCCCGGAAGGAAGTGGAAAGTACCAATATTTTAATCTAAGGGGACTATCGCGTGTGTGAATTCGTTGAAACCGTCATAGCTTACACGTACGTTGATATACGGACATTTGATGTCGAGGAATTCGATAAAAGAAGTAATCAGATACCATACAAAGTCGACGTAAGAAACGAGATAACTAAATTTCAAGAAGATAACTAAAGAAAGAACGAATTCTCTCAATACCTGCTGTATTATATTCCAATAATGTTGAACGCAGCACGAAATTCACGATACACAATAATATCTAACAACGTCAGAAATAAATGATCTTCCAATTCCGACAAATGGCCGTTAGAATATTTTTAAATAATTCGATATGTACTCCTACGCGCATGCGCACTTAGTGTCACTTCACTTTTACAAGAGGTAAACAGTAATATATTTTCTTTTTTGGACTTCCTTCAAAGCTAATAACGAACGTTCTACACCTTTCGTAATGATTATGAGTTATTGTATGATACCTCCGTTCTACCAGGAGGACGCTCCCGACTGAGCAATAGCACAAGCATCAGTGACAAACATTCGACACGACAAGTTACTCATCAGCTATGTGACCTATGTTCTATGTAACGGGTCCCGTCTCTTATATTCTTCGCGCGTCTCTTTTTCTACATATAGTAGCGTACATTGATGTATTCACGTACGACCGAGTTAACGCAGAGAATTATATGTATATGTAGCAGAAGACAACGTGTGGCAACGAGTAATGGACGTACACCCCAGCTGTGTCACATCCTAGTTCCTGGAGTCTCTCGTTTTAACAGGACGATGGAAGGTCGTTTTCAGGAGATAAACAAAGTATGTACTGCGTAGCTGTAGCTTCCACGACAGCAGACGAGCCACTGATGTGAAGCTACTGAAGAGACTCATCAAGAAAACGTGCTCTTTGAAAACCACGAGGACTTTCACTGCTGTTCATAATCTGAGTATCTGACTCAATCGGTTGGTATACCGACTGGGGAGCATTGCCGAAGGTATACAGTAGCGTTCACAATGACGAGCTCACTTTTTTATTGAAATTTTTTTACTGTTTAGTTCACTATTGCGTTGCATATCTGTCGTTTCATTTTGACAGCTGGGGTGAAACAGTTACTGACCTTTGCGGTTGGCCAGCATGTCGCTTAACGGATTTTCTAACCCTCGACCGGTTTGACTTGTACTCAGGGTATGGATATAAATAATTTTTTTTTGTAGTTAGGATTTCTGACTAACGTTGTGGGAACTCCTTAAGGTCCTACACTCGGTAGCTTTCCCCATGACAAACAGCTTCTCCCAGCCACTGTCTATTGTTGTCTATTGGTTTATAAATCTCGCTAGGTGTGAACGGATGGCGTTGTATTCGTGCTGGTAAACACTTGCTATACAAGTCGCGTGCGTTTTAGTGGAACTGTGAATAAGAATTGGAGTAGCATAAAGATACATATTGAACAAGCCTACCTACGTGGTATAGCGAGAAACTCCTAAGGACAAAGTTAACGACTCGACTATAGAGTCGAATATGGTTATCCTGCAGAAAGTGAAACGTTACAGGATACTGTGCAATTATTATATATTTATAGTGACTATAAAAACATATAATAATAGATCGGACTTATGTCTTGGTCCTGGAGGCACTGTATGAAACGCAACGTTTCATGCCTCACGTCTCGCTGATTAACGAAGTCTAAAAAACCCGTCAACAACTAGCAATATACTATACTTTTTATTTTAGATTTCTTTGCTGTATACTTTGGATAAGGAAAAACTACATGCTTCCTGATTACGGACATGGTAAACCTGAATCGCAGCTGCACAGTAAGAACTCGGTGAAATCTCGGCTCTTGTTTTTCGTTAAATATCAGTCTGACATTCAGCAACCGCCATAACTATTTGCACAGACACACACTCTACGCGGTATAGTACTAAAGTAGCATGTCACTATAGGTATACGCAGTATAGTATGACTAAAGAAAAACAATCTTATGCTTGAATCAGATCTGTAACTTCTTCATCCAACCATATGGCCAGACAGAAAGTCTATCAATCAATTATTCCCACGCTTCAGAATCGATTGGCCTCTATAATACAGTAAGTAATAGACACTTCACTATGAAAATTATTATAGCTTTTATTCACCGTTGAATCCTACATTTTGCATTACTTTGTACTAGGTTACCAATCCTACCGGGGTTACGGGATCTAGTACCTCAACTAACCCGTTTGGGATTCAATCGGCGTATGAAGACCGGTAGATCGTCTTTCTCATTCCCACAAGAACAAAAACATACCAAGAATTTTCCCACAACAAGTGCACAGATCGAGTCTGACGGACTGAAGCCAAAAAAAAGAAACAAGATAAACTCCAAAGCATTACCTCCATGAATAGATTGAACAGACGGCTCTGCGAATAACGATGACCCAATTGCTCCGTTTCATAAAAACAAGGCGAAATCGATTATTACACAGAGACGTTATGCAAAGGAACCGATTTATCTGGCGACTGGTAATGCCGTTAAACACGATCAAGTCTCATTAGACGATTGCCTGTAGCGCCAGTCAGGCCAACTGAACTCTGGTGGCACACAGCACAGGGCAGCTCGTTGTTTGAGCGCAACGCGAGAACGGCAAATTCTACTCTTTGAGATAAGACTATCTTGTTTTAATTATTTCACGGACGAGAGACACTGGCGTTTGTTAGAAAAGATCGTTAGAGTCAACGAGCATTGAGCTACTGAAGCTGATCTCTGCTACCATCAGAGACTACCCACGATGCTTGATGTACACTTTTTTGATCCATCGATTAATATGCAACGTAGGGGAAAGCTGTAACCGGTCGAGGGTCATCCATATCATTCTGAAATGGGGGATGTAGATAGATGCAAGAGGATGAGTTCATTGCCCGGCATAGCGAATATAAATAACGAATGGTGTATATCCTATATTGGATTTCCTTTCTGATCCAGTGTAGCATTTATAATTAGTAGAGGTTCAGTCGTGAGCATCTCGGTTATTTCATTGTTTGATTATTTTTTTCTGCTCACCAGTCTAGCCCTTTGTTTGACTTTAGAGTGCACTTCGGTATTACCGGTATATGGGATATGTGAAATTGTACTTATTCATTGAGGCATTTGGCCTCGAGCATGTAATACTTGTGTATATATGTATACGGACTATATAATATGAGATCTGGATTTGAAATTCTAGTACGAGGAAGCTGATTATTTTCAATAGCCAATGGTACTTAAGTACGACACTGTAATGGAAATTAAAATTGCGTGACGCCGAGAATTCTTATTGTTTACATAGTTTTCGTATCGCATCCACGTGGTTATCAGATAAATGAAGAATGCTGTACCTATAGGAATTGCACGTGGAAAGTGATTAATTGCTTGGCAATCGCACGCTGTTTACTGCGCCTTATATTAAATATAGTGTGGCGGATTTTACATAGTGATAAAATTATGTAAAAGCGTGGAACAGAAGAATTAGGTCGATTCTAGAAGCCATTACGGAATTAGATAATAATCTTCATATCGAAAAGCATGATTGATTCACTTAATGGATTTAAGCTTGATTTTTTATTAATGATATTTTTCTCTCGTTGCCTCACACTCCTAAGTAATTATATCAATTTGAACATTCGTCTGATTATATTTGTGGATAAAGGGAAATCGATTCTCGTCAAAAGTCTGGCAAGGCAGACCCCTCTGTTCAGTGAAGTCTCACAATGAAATTTTGTTATCTAAGAAACGTGACGGTAATACCAGTGAAACCGTGACAGTGAGGATTTCCGTTTAGAATTATCAGACTTTTCTGCCACTGAAGTTACGGGCAACCGAGCACGTATTACAAAGTCATAAGATATTTTTAAAAAATCAAGTTGGGAATTTTTTTTATAAAAGGTGACAGAGACTTTTATGAAAGGTTGAACAATAGTCGAATAACATGAGTTGTGAATTTCTTTTTTTCTTTTTTAAATTCTTTCAGGATGATGACTTTTAATCGGATCAAAGTTTACTTGGTGATTTTTTTCTATTCAAATACTCCGGTATTCCAGTCTCATTGGTATCTATTTCGCATCGCCTGGACGAGTTTGACAAGTGCTCAAACTACTTAATTTCACTATTTTCAATTTGAGTCACGTGTCCTTTGAATTGCGCACGCGATACAATGCGTTTCGTGTCACGACAAAGACTGTCGGGTGAATTTAAAACATCCCTGCTAAGGAAAATGTTTAAAGTACAGGCGTAAACATCGAACTGGGTCTGGAAGACAAGCTGCACCGCACGACTATGCACCGTTCGAATCCTAATGCTTCATTCACACCGAATCTCTGCGTAACTTCACTCCCTGATTTCAAGCGTTAAAAAGATATATGTATACAGATGGATATGATTAAAATTGAAGGATCTTCTCGCTTTACAGGAATTTATAAAGCTCGATTTAGCGTACAAGAATATTTTAGGAGCTATTTCAGTTAGAAAAATATTTTTCTTAAACGTATTAATTCAAAATGCTCGCGACAGTTCTACAACAAGGTTTTATAGCCACGTGCTGGTTTACAGAAATAATAATGATAATAACCGTCTTGTTTGTTTCGTTTCAAAGATAAATTTTCCTCAGTGTGAGTTCACTATTGCTATTTTCGACATGGACTAAAAAATCAGATCCGACCATATAGCCTCGGCTACGTGCAACTGGACTCAGGTAGTCTATCCGGTATGAACGATCCTTAAGGTTTGAATTCCGCACAAAGGAAGAAGATTCAAGATGAGAGGAACCTGCTGCAGAGCGTAGCCTGCATCCACACCTGAGCCTAATTCATCCTCAAGGTTTTCAAGGAGCATTCGGTGGGAGGTATTCCAGGAATCCGATGATGGATCTCTCCCGGCATCCGGGTTCTAATCACTAGGAAAGATAAAAAATGACAGAGGAACAATTTTTTAGAAAAAAAAAAAATGGGCCATAGGATGTATAGGTGTAGTAACAGGGAGCAACGTCATCTTACTGATTAATGAATGACGATCCAAAAGTATCCAGACGATGACTGTCTCCTTAACTAGTCATCAAAAAGTGCATCAGGAATTTCCTCATCCTTTATCTGAATTACCTGCAGGTCTACTACGTGGGTCTACCTACAGTACATATATGTATATGTATATACGTACAGGCAATAAGTTTGCATTTACAATAATGTTTACTTCAATGAAATTTTTTTGTTCTAACGTCTCTAATCGTTTCTCAATGATTCAATCGACCTACCTCCCTCGGGATTCTGCTCGACGAAGACACTTTTCCGAGGAACTCCTTCGAGACGACCTCACTGTTCTTGCTGACACAAGCGTTTTCACCAGAGAGTTCACTGCTCGCGTTATTCTCCCAGCTAGAACTGGTCGAGTCCTCCCTGCTGCTGGGACCAGTCGCTACTTCTGCCTGGCACGACGACTCGTCTCTTTTCAGCTGGTTCTGCTTCTTGAAGAAGTCCGGGTCGCTGAAGCACTTCTCCAGGCTTGAAGCCCTCTGTAGAGCGGTAGGAGAATTTGGCGTTGACTTGGAGCTCACAAAATCCTCCTTCAAAAGATTCTCAGTGCTCCTATCACGAATCCGTGGTGGATCCTGATCCCGGTATGTTCTACGTTGACTCTTGGAGATGTCGTACATCGCGTCTCAAAGTATCCTCAGTAACGAATCTTTCGATCCTGCAAGAATAATAATAAGTAATAATTATTCATTGAGGATATCAATTATATTAATTTTTTGTTTAATTACTTAATTGATCTTCCTACTCGGCTATCTTTGTATACATCTAGTATATGTATATATATGGACGAGCGAGCTCTGTAACAGTTGAAATAATTATACGCTCGATAACTCTCTGGCGAAACACTTTCTTATTTTAATTCTACTGTCTAGTCACTCGTAGTTCCGAGGGAAATGTCATAGCCGAGAAAGTTTAATTAATGCTAAAGGATTAGTTGACTATTTTATTATGCCGCACTTTAATATGTCAGAAAAATAAAAAATACTGATGTCATAAGGAATCCGGTATATCTGTCAAAATGAATGTACTTAATCGATTCATTAGCCGAAAGTATTTATACGATAAAACGTGCCACAGGATCTTATGTGCGATCAATCGTCGTGCATTACATAAACCGTAATTGATATTCAAATACGAAGAACCTACTTAATGCTTGAGTCGTAGCGGAATGAGGTGTCATCACGTTTTCCAGCCCAATAGAAATTCTTGTGTGGTTATAATAAATAATATGGCAGTTCCCACGTAACGACGTATAGATAAGGATTAGAAATAAGATTAAATCACATTTAAATATTATCACCCATACGTAAATGAGTCACATTTAAAAGAAAGAAATAGTCGTTGACACTACTTAATGAATACTGCCAACCGATAACAGGTACACGGATTATTCAATTAATATATGGAAGATCATCCTTGTAGAGGGCGTTAAATAAATTCTCTGATAAAATCCATACTTGATGTCGAACACGAATGCACCATTAATGTAGTCGATTTTTATTGTAAGGCCACATTTACTGCTAACTGTCCGATAACCTTGTTTCGATCCTGCCAGCTCGTATGCCCACACAGCCAGTACTAGGGCTACTATCTCTGGGAGGGCAAAATGCCCCATGCGTCATGCACCAGGACATCTGTCGCCCTTTTGCCGCGTCCCTTCTCTCTTATTTCTTCTCTCTTTTTATTTCACTTCCTTTCTCTATTTCTTTCTCCTTCTATCCATGACAGCCGTTTGGCCATTTCCCATAAAAATCCAACAGCCCCCTTGTATATATGTATACTGTACTGGGCCTGGCACAGTGCAAGTGGCCCAGCTGGGCTTTTGCGTGAACGGCCTCACTAAGGATTGCTTAACGCTCATGCGTCAATCGATGTAAGCAGATGTAAGAGGTTTGCCAGGGTAGCTAGCATAGGGCTGGATGCTTTGTTCTTTTACTTGTAAAAATGGAAAATTATTTATAAGATTAGGAAGTATCGCTTTGTAACCACTTGTGCTGGCAACGAACTGATAGATCCGCGTGAGAAAATGCTACAAAAACAAAAACATCTCGACGTGCGTGGCACATCTCTCCAGCGCAAGTGGTTAAATATTTTTTCTACTTATTTTTGTAGTATTAAGTAGTTGATGTTGCTGATTCTCTTCTTTTCTAGAAGATCAATATGTTGCATTGTATGATTGATGAGTTAATATGTATTTATAAATAAATAATTGTTTTGAAAATATTGTATTTTGGAATAAATGTTTCGTCTCTGAATTTCCGCAAAAACGGAAGTCTTTGCAGGTCACTAGAAATGGAGTATCCTGTATATTTTCATACAATTAAAGTTTTTATAAAAAGAATTTCTATTACCCTTCGATACTTTTAATGGCATCTTGTTAATTACTATTATATTGTCTAAAGTGGATTAATGGTTTCTGTGAAGTATGTATTGCGTTTTTGCGAGTAATTATAATTATAATATAATGTTTATGGTTTACAAATTGATTTCAGGAAGATATCTTAAAGTGGTATGCTGGCGCCATCGTGCGGTAAAAAATTTCTTCTGCGAGAAGTAAGTCTCTCTTGAAATCTCGAATAACCGGATCTCGCGCACGAGACTTGATAATCTGTGACATTCAGGTCATAGGCACCTCGGGTCCTTTTCTTCTCTAACCCCTCTTATTATCAAGGACTGCAAGAAATTTTTAAAGGCAGGATGCAAGCTAACCTTTGGAGTTTGATGACCGCATCTGTGAGAGTAAGTTAAATGATAATTTAGGTATTCTAGATGATTATCATTAAATTCAGTGATCATGCCATGTGATATTGGCCAAATTGTGGGTCTCCTTCTAAGGCCGTTGAAGGGCAACTGAATTTTTCGTTAACATCTCGTAAAAGTTACAGAAAGTATCACTTTTTCTTTATAAATTATTCATGCTAATATTTATATTTTACTTTATTTTATGTAACAGTTGATATCATTGTATCAGTATTGTGAAGAAGACCAAAGTAAATTTTGGGAATAATCATCCATACGTGTTATGTCACTTGCTAAATTTGAGTTCCGGAATTAAACGGTTTTTAATTGATTGTTATATACTATGTTACATTTTTTATTGATGATGGTACATTATATTTTAATGAAAAGAGTTGAGATACATAATTTAATTGATATTTTATTTTATTTCATTATTTATTGTATTTTATAATTTTTTGTCAGCCGGTATGCATCAAACGAGTTGTCAGTCCAGTACTCTCTGCTGCTCAGCAGCGAAGATATGCCAGCACTCTAGATGCAGATTTGGTTGTCATCGGTTCAGGTCCTGGAGGCTATGTCGCTGCGATAAAAGCTGCACAGTTGGGAATGAAAACTGTTTGTGTTGAAAAGGATCCAACACTGGGTGGAACCTGCTTAAATGTTGGATGCATTCCATCAAAGTCGTTGTTGAATAATTCACATTATTATCATATGGCTCACGGTGAAGATTTAAAAAACCGTGGAATCATAGGTATGTGGAATGATTGGATATACATAAAATAATTCATATATACAAATAATAACATTTTATAAAAATCCATGCAGTTAATTGAAAATTATACAATAACGATTTTTTTTTCATTGTTTTAGTTCAAAATGTTCAACTAGATTTGAACAAACTTCTCGAACAGAAATCCAATGTTGTGAAGTCTTTGACAAGTGGAATTGCTGGTCTTTTCAAGAAAAATAAGGTCGAATGGGTTAAAGGGCATGGCAAGATCACAGGCAAGAACCAAGTGAGCGCCCTGACACCCAGTGGTTCCGTGGACACGACAATCAACACTAAAAACATCTTAATCGCAACAGGCAGCGAAGTAACGCCATTCCCAGGAATCGAAGTAGATGAGAAACAGATAGTGTCTTCAACCGGAGCTCTTTCGCTGAACCCTGTTCCAAAGAGGCTAATTGTTATTGGTGCTGGTGTTATCGGTCTGGAATTGGGCTCAGTATGGCAAAGGTAATATTCCTCCTTCAAGAAAATTAAAATTCCAAGAAAGAACTGCAAGGATAATCCAAGCATTTGCAAAGGTTGGGCTCGGAAGTAACAGCTATTGAGTTCATGGGTTCCATCGGTGGTGCTGGTATGGATGCTGAAGTTAGCAAGGCTCTTCAAAAGATCTTGAACAAGCAGGGTCTCAACTTTAAACTAGGAACAAAAGTAACAGCCGCTACAAAGAGCGGTGGTGAGGTACAGGTATCCATCGAGGATGCTAAAGATCCCAGCAAGAAAGAGACTCTCGGTTGCGATGTTCTTCTGGTTTGCGTTGGTAGGAGGCCATACACGAAGAACTTGGGCCTCGAAGATTTGGGAATTGAGAGAGACGAGAAGGGAAGAATTCCAGTAAATAACAGATTCCAGACAGTCATCCCCAAGTGAGTATATCATTTCAGATTAGATGATTTATCAATGATATTAACAATAACTACAAATCCCATCAGTATCTACGCAATTGGCGATTGTATTCATGGCCCCATGCTAGCACACAAAGCCGAGGACGAGGGAATCATCACCGTCGAGGGTATTGCTGGAGGTAAATAAAATCTTACCTCTGTGATACAATAGTTAAACTCACAATTACATTACAATTTAAATGAAGGTGCTGTTCACATTGACTACAACTGTGTACCCAGCGTAGTCTACACGCACCCTGAGGTTGGCTGGGTTGGTAAATCCGAGGAGGATCTTAAGAAAGAGGGTGTCGATTACAAGGTCGGCAAATTCCCCTTCCTGGCCAACTCCAGAGCGAAGACGAATCTCGACACTGACGGATTCGCCAAGGTCTTAGCTGATAAAAATACAGATAAAATTCTGGGTGTTCATTTGATTGGACCAGCTGCCGGAGAACTTATCAATGAAGCAGTACTCGCTATGGAGTATGGTGCTAGTGCCGAGGATGTTGCGCGGGTATGCCACGCTCACCCGGTAAGTAAATGAACATTCAAGGTATTCTCGAAAAAATGACTTAATATCTAAATATTAATTTATTAAATCTCCATTCGGCAATTACAGACATGTTCCGAAGCACTGAGAGAAGCTCACCTCGCCGCCTATTTCGGAAAGCCAATCAATTTCTAAAATTTAGGAGTTCATTATAAATGACTACGAAAAAAAAAAACAAGAAAAGAAACGCATCGTAGACATCCTCTAGTTTGCGTCCTGACATCTAAGGAGATGAAAAATATACAAGGCGCCGCACTTCGTAAAGAAATACCATTGCACTGTCATTTTGACGCTATCGAAATATCTGCTGTAAATAAGAACTCGAAACTTATTTCGTGAGAAGTTTCGTTTTTAATAAGTGTACCATTATCTTATAAACATTATTGTATTTATTACAAATAAAATGAAAACCTATTTCGCCTTTGCGGGCATCTGGTCGCTCTATTCTGTCCGCAGATTTGTCATTTTTATTTAGCGCGATAGAAATTCAGTTACTATGTGAAAAATCGTATTGACCTGCATGTAAATTAAGCGATAATGATAATGTCAAATAAGTAACACATTTTCTCTTGACAGTTGAGTATTGTAAAAGCCTTGACAAGTATTGCAACATTCTTATTGAATTGAATCAAGGAAACATTCAATTGAATAATATAGGTGACGTATAAAATTATAAACACAATTAATAATAGAACAGTTTATCAAAATTAATAAGGGTTATCCAAATATTCTTCATTTTTTTTCTTTTTTAATTGATTTGTGTTTACACCAATTTGAATCATCCCATATAAGCAGCCACATTCCTCACCGTAATGGATAACTTCTAAAAAATGAAATTAAAATTTCAAAATTATTACCTCAAAAAGCAATTCATAGGTGGTGCCAGCGGCGTCACAAGTCTAAATTCAATTATTCATTTGCGTCATGTCCAATAAAAATAGAGTCACACGATTCTTCAGAAATATATAACTTTTACAAAATGGTTTAATTAATCTCTTTGCGGACATCTCAATGTTAAGAGTGTCGGGACACAAACCAATTGAATTGTTTGAGCAAAGGATAAAATATTACCGCGACAATCGATCTTTCTTTAATTCCAGAAGGTGCGAGAGAGAAAGATATATAATTGGAGGCATTCTGGGTATTTTAAATGTACCACGTGACCGGTTTAAGGTCCATAATTGCCGGTGCTGCCACCATCAGTTGTATGTCGCATATCGGCAACACGGACAGCCGGAGTGGCACTTGTGCAGCAACACACCCAATGTTTGTGTTTTCGAATTTCTCGTGATAGCAGTGAACACAGTTGATTCGGATCAGAATGTAGTAACATCGTGAGTGGCTTATATATGTATCATGTGGACGACAACGAAGACTACCAAGTACGGCGTCGGTGAGTAGGAATAATTATTAGAATTCATCGGCGACAAGCCTCTCGAAGGAACTGTCAAAATGTTCCCTTTGGTTTACTCAGATTTTCTCGTCACCTTTTATATCTGCATCGTTCATTGGAACAGCGGTATGCATTCGGCAGAATAGATTCTCTACAGCATTTGTCGTGGTGTTATAACATATCGCGATCCTCATTCACTTGATGATTTTACCAGACAACCCAACACTCTGTAGCAATGCTCGTTTCATCATCAGTTTACTCCGAGAGGAATTATCTTTCACGATGGAGATACGTGAAGCCCATTCATGCATTGATCGTCTACAAGTAGTTAAGGATTGGACTCTATATGGTGAGATAGCTTCAAGCTGAATTGCAATTAGCTGCTCGCTAATCCATTCTGTATAACAACCAGCTGATGACTGTCATGATGGGATTTGAATTTTTCCTTGAATTCTCCTTCTCTTAATTTATTTAACATTTCTTACGTTCTGATGAGTGGCTGGAACGAAAACTCGGTGTTACCAATTGTTTTTTTTCCAAGTTCCTGCTACAAGGTTCTTTTCAATTCGATGTTCTTTTTCACTTCTATTGTTAACTGGGAGTGCGTTTCGAAATTCAGTGTCAGTACTAGGAGCATGGTTGTGTCTCACTCAATTTCATAGGTAAACAGCGACACGATGATATTCGTGGTACTGGCAGTGAAATTCGGATCCTCTCCCGGGAACGAGGGTACAGTCTTTTTAGAATATATTTTTTTAAGTCTCAAATATGCGATTGAACATTTGTATTCATGTACTTCTATTGTCAAAGAAATGTTTACACACATTTTAACTAACGGAGTAACTCTTTTGGAGGAATTTGTTTAATTGGATCTGATTGAATATTCTTTTTAATCCCAGGGACAGATCGTACGTAGTTTATGAACTATGAGATATTTTCAAAGGAAACTTGTGTAAACGTATAACTCTCCCTCATCATTCAGTGCGCCTCTTCATTAATGAATTAACCAAAAGCTTAGAGTAAACATGGTACGTCCATTCACGAGGAACTAAACGGCAAGTAAAGAAATCTTGAGCTCCCTAATAAGAATAGTTAATGAATAAAACTTCAGTTCACGGATCAAGCTCAAAGAAGTGTATCAATTATAAAATATAAATATAATTTGAAAAGACCGCCATATAGATGGCGTCAGCTATTCACTATTATTCGGAACCTCCTCAAAACTACTGAAAAATTACTAGGTTTGTGCAGAACCCTCTAACTCTTGATGTTTATTTTCTTATTTTCATTTTACAAATACAAAAAGTGACACGTGCTCCGTTACAGAAAACCGTCAGACTTAACGATCTTGACACGAATAGAATTAGTAAGTTGAAAGTAAAAAAAAAGAGATTCACTCTCCATAATCAAGGACGCGTATTCGTAACGCTCCCGCACGCAATCACGCATTTTCAACATTTTCTACTGTTTATCGATTATGTGCCACGGGATGTGATAATTACACGTTTAACCGTGTCATGCCACAGCATTATATTTTCTCTAGAATTATTTTATTTCCTAATGGTATCTAATCGATACACTTGTCAATCTGTTTGACGAGAAAATTCTTGAAAATTAGACTTGAATATGCCGTCGCTAGATTTTCAGATATTTGTAGATTTATATAAATTTAAGTTGCAGTTACTTGCAATTATTACTATTATTATACGGGATATACGACGTTTTACACTCATTAGGAAAAGGATGAAAAATGTAAAAAATATTTTGCTTCTGATAAATTGTTATGTCTGAGTCGTATTTAATGGTTCCCCGTGCGAGGGGATTCTTTCTCTACGTCCTCTTGTCAAGTTTCGGGTTCGCTCATCCTAACCGTCGCACTCGCTGCGGACGACGCGTGGGGAACGAGAATTGACGCGTCGCTTTACTCAACGGGGAGGACCAATGCGTATCCTAACTCTGGTTTGGTCAGGAACACGATTCTACGCGAACGTCGCAATACGCATTTATTTTGTACGACTGGCTACTATTTCGAGAGCAGAAACTGTGCGACGCTCGGGGTTTGCGAACTCAGCTGTGTATTTATTGGACGAATCGGTTTATGTTTCACTTTTCCCTCTCTCTCTTGCACTTTACAGCAGATGCGAAAGTGTATATACATATACCAGACATTTAAAGGAGAGGGACAAGCATGGCTGTAGTTGCGTATAAATAAAATCGTGGTTGGTTTTAAAAAAGGGAAAAGGTTAAGATAATTGTATAAATTTTACGCAATTTATTCATTGGCGTCAATTGCAAAGAACTCGTGAACTTCTGTATGACAGAATTATTAGTGGAAAAATTCAGTACGATTTTCACGAAAAATATAATCGATCACAGTTCATTTGAATGGAATATCTCAGAATAGAGGGGTTTCGGTCACATATGAAAACATACTGAAAATAACGATGATACCGATCTGTCAGAGGTCGCTTATTGGAAAGGGATACGTTACACGTCAAGTTTCTTTTTCCAGTATACATTGAGCCACTGTAGACTCTACGTGCTCCATTTTCAATCCCCGCCAGGAACAGGGCAAGGAGCGATTGGCACGTCGCCAAACCGATAACCGTAACCGATTTCGAAAAGTTTAAGCTTATCGCCGGTTTAAGTGCTAAGAAAGGTCAGGAGTGCCGCATCGCTTAGCAAAGAATTTCAGTATTGTATTTATATATTACTATCGACAATACCGAAATAATTCGTCAGACTTCACGAACGCTACTTGAACTTATTTGTAATCGAGCAAATACCAGTCAGCAGTCAGCATATGTATATATACTTGAAGTCTCGTCTTCAGGACTCCTTACGATAAGCTGTATTTTACTACGTAACTGCAGTAGGCATTTTGAACGTTGTGTGTACCTTTTAATCAGTAACGCAGTCCACGTCAAGAATGCTCTTATTTCAGGACACGCTCACCGTGTCGGAGATCGATAAGGAACCTTGTACCGAGGCATAACATTTGCGACGATTTCGGGTAGCTTTGTTTACGTCTAGTTGGCTCGTTCGAACCGCCTGTGCGCCCTTCTCTCCCCTCCCCCCCGCGCATTAAGACCCCGTCCGTTCAACCCACCCTTGTCAACTCCCCAACTTGATGCACGTAACGCGTAGAGAGAATAAGAGAAGTATGGCATTGCTGCTATGGAGAAAGAGGGAGAGAGTGAGAGTGAGAAAGAGTGAGGTAGAAAAGGGAAAAAGGGAAAAGGAAAAGGGAGAGTCTCTCGGCTGGGTTCCCTGACTCTCCCTTCACGAATGCTTCATACGGAAAGGGGAGTTATTGATTTAATTCCCGGGAAAAGCTAGGAAACTCGTCGGGAAGCGTTTTCGCTGTAGTAAAAGTGAGAGCATTCTCTATCGCGTGTCTGAGTAGAAATTGCCGTCGGTTATTCGACAAGAGGACTGAAACTCCGGCTTGTTAAGACGCGTGAAACGTAAGTAGGAGCCAGACAGAGAGAAATACAAAGAGGAAATACGCGAAAGAGGAAATAATGTAAATCGGAATGACGGGATTACTTGAGCTTTTCAAAGAGTCTTGGCACTTTAGTTTAACAACGTCAGCCGGAATCGATGACACTTGCGTGATATCCGATGCGTCCTTCACTCGTCGGTGGCTGCCGTATTTAAATCACCCACCTAGCACAGTCGGGTATTGTGCTGACTGACGGATTTTCACTGTGTGATAGACTTGTAGTGGGTACGTTGTTTTTAGGATGTACCAATCCTTCACTGTACACTCGTGGGACGAAGTAACGGGATGACCGAGGCTGGGAATGGGAATTAGAAGTTTGCGCGGAGAATCCTGAATCAGGCGAACCAACTGAAATTTTGTCTCTTTTGGAATTCTTGCTATTGGTAGGCAATCCGCGTACCGGGGCGGCACTCTTTCTGCTTCTCTGAGTGGCCTGAGCGGCTACCAGGCAGGATGTGGAGTAGCAAGCGAGTATCTAGCGACGAGTGTATAATGCTCATTGAGATGCATCTCGTGTCTGTCTCCTCTGGCGGAGACCGGAAACTCGTATCATACGCGCATTGTCACGCGTATCCGGTAAGCGTTCTTATCGGGTGTCTCTGTGAGCTCCTGAAAAATTGATAGCCGATATATATCCTCGTTTTTTATTTTTTTATAGACGATACATTTTTCGATAATTTTGTTTTGTGATTTTGGGTAACAGTGATTGTCTAGGAATTTTTTTGGGAATTTAACTATGTCCGGCAGACTATGCATTTTATTTCAACAGGCTTGACTTTTTCGATCAAACCCTTTTTTCGTGTGGCTATTGTGACACTTCTTTGGCACGATGTTCCTTATTGACTGACTGATGTCTAGTTCAAGCCTTATCTCCGTGTATCGTTAACCTACAAACGTATCGATAGTTGCGGCAGGTTCTGCTCCGGTCTATCCAGTGTGTTATACCAGGGTAGAGACTATTGAGAGCAAACGACAAATGTCAGCCAGTAGAAGGAGGCGGATGCATTGTTAGTAGCTTCTATAAGCGAGCAGTGTCACTGCTGACTGCTGATATATTGGCTCAAGTGATGCCATCTGTGAGGTAAAATTGGAATAAGAAAACCATTGATATAGTAGGGGGCGCAGTAGATGGAGAAATTTCTTATTTCAAATTACATCCTCCCAGTTTGTATTGACTTCTCGAATCAGGCGTATCGATGTTACTAGCTTCTCTCGCATGCACTCTATTCGATAATTAAAGTTTTATTTATTATTTAAAGTGCTAATATTGTTATTTTTCTTTCGCAGCGCTGTACAACTGGCGCGGCGACACGCGATATGGACTTCCCTTGGAGATCGGCGAGACAGTGCAGATTCTCGAAGAGTGCGCTGGTAAGGAACCGATCGGTTAACCCTGATCTCGTATGTGCAGCGATACTCGAGGATTATAAATAATTCGTGAGTCTTGTCATTGTCATATATTTTTTTTTTGTAGGCTGGTATCGTGGATTCTCAACGAAGAATCGTGCGGTCAAGGGAATTTTTCCGAGTTCCTATATACACTTGAAGAAATGTAAGATCGACAATGAAGGTCTCTTCGAGTCCGTTATACCCTTGGAAGATCCCGTGGTACGTGAAGTCACCCTGGTCCTACGGGAATGGGGTAGCATCTGGAAGAGGCTCTACATGGTGAGTTTTTAAAAGTTTCCAGATTACACCCTGGACTTTTTATATAATTATCCTAGTTTTTTTTTTTTTTTTTTTTCTTTTTATGCATCCACTTGTCCATAGCGTATCTCTTGCTTTTTGTTTATGACTATACTAAACTATTTGAAGTTTCATGTAGTTCTGGCGAGTACACGATATCCTGTAACATTGATCTTTTCTTCGAATGTAGCTGTCTCCTAGATCCATCCGCTTTATTCCCGGCTCAATGAATTCGAGCGAACGAGGCTTTTATGCCATAGAGAATTTTTTCCTTCAGCACGTCCCACTGCCAAATTCAATTTGCAAGCTTGCCTCTACAGTACGAAATGTTGCGTGTCTTTGCAGGAGAGGGAGATATACAAGTTCAACACACTGAGAAAGGTGATGCGCGAATTATTGGAATGGCGACGGCAACTTTTGGCCGGCACTCTCACGACGGATCAGACGCGCGAGCTCAAACTACGGATTATCAACAAGGTAGACTGGGGCAATCGGTAAGTCCAAGACCATAGATTCTGTTTTACGTATTTCTTTACCTACCTTTTTTTCCTACGTTTTCTATCAAATCGACAGTCAAATAGTATCTGTATAAGACAGATAAAGGACAATGGGGTGCAATGAGAGGAAAGTCCTTTTTGCATACAAGAATTCCTTTATTTAATAGCTATTTTGTTTTTTAAAACTGTCTTTAATATACGTTCGACAATTAACTTTAGGACGTTGCTCGAATTCGCAGTCTTCTTCTCACTTTGTCTGCGCTTCCCTGCAGAGTGAGCATATATCTCTTCGTTACTCGCAAAACGATCTTAGGCTAATTATGTCTTTATACTACTAAAGGCATATCAATATAGAGACAACTACTTTTTAATACCTATTTGATCTGCTTGTTTTTTTTCTCTAACTGATTACCTTACGTTATCACTCAAAACAGGACTCTAGTATATTATTTATATATATCTATGCATATATATATATATATATATATATATATTTATAATCTATTATCAGCGTCTAGGGTATTATGCAAATAGTTGCAAAGTCTTAATCTATATTGTCGGTTAATACTTGATAAGAGCAGCGTCGAAGTTTCTCGTAGGCAAAAAAAGAAGTTCAAGAACCAAAGGCATATTAAGAACGTATTGTTAATGGGTCTAACGAGTTAACCGATCCACGTGAACTGTCACGCAACAATTGAAAGGAAGGAAGGAAGTATAAGTAAAAGAAAAAAAAAAACACTCACAGAACTTCTTCTCTCCGCAGACGTTAAAACGCTTACAAGCTATATCTCAGTTGGTGCGTTTTGTCTTACAAACGATGCAACGCGAATTCAGTACCCGAATATGTCCAGGGTAATTGATTTCTTGGGCAACTGGGACCGGCTACGAGGAATAGCCTTACCAAGACACTTTGGGAATACCTTGGTCCCACATAGCGTCTCGGCTCGAACGAACGACGCCATTCCTTGTCGATCGTTGCTCTGCTATGAAAATTATCCTCTAACGAATGAATTGATGAACGATGATGATGACGACGAACGACAATGGCACATCAGATCCAGATGTCTATGAGAAGAGATCTTACGAAATGATCTGGAAGAAATATACTATGTACGATGCCAAACATTTATGAATCATGATTTGTGAATGATGGTAGAATTTTTTGATGATCTTTTCTCAGGCACTTGTACTGCATAACGTACCGATAGTCACAATGTAATTTGAGCATGTTGTCACTTCACTACAACCTCATTTTTGCGTATGACGATTGTGCTTTAAGGAGGACCGTGAAAGTACTTGTTACTCGTACGAGGGGCAGATGTCAAAATTGTATCTCTTCGGCAAGGAATCCTGGACGGAATGCGCTCTGAGCTACGGAGGACTCGCTAAATTAGAGCTTAATGGTGCTGCGATAATGTTTTTTAACAATGATTACACAAAAGTACCGGTTGAGAATGATCCATATGTATAACAGACTCCTGGACGATTCTCGCGGCCTGTGTTAATCGATTGGTAATGCGCTTAAACATTGCAAAGTCCAATCGTCGATCGAGCGTCGGAAGAGCCACTGGTGCGACATATTGGATATAGATTTATAGGAAAAGTAAATTCACCTATTAATCAATGGCGTAAATAGAGCGAGACGATTACGTGCTAATGTGCATGGACCTTTGATGATCTTCGTCGAGGAGGAGAAAGAGAAAGACTAAGCTCGTCGAGACTGTACAATCTACTACTACTATCATGCTATTTGGCACATTCCTTAGGTGTGATGATATTCCTATAAACGTTTCATCGCGGTTTTGACTCATGCTCGATCACCATTCAAATACGATCTTGTGTACTTGGTGCATCCTTGCGTAATTATTGATAAATATTTGGACGATGCACTTTCTATATATGTATATTTATATATACATGTCACTATCGACCGAATTTTTCGTATACACTAGGTGCATAGGGTGCGGAATGTCGCGAGTGATGTAATGTTAATTGATACACAATATTTCCAAGTAGCTTTTCTTTTATCGATACCGATTACTGATGGTGACGTATGGCGAGTGTTTTGTCTTTCTCAGTATTATTATTACATTGCTCCGTATGGAAGACTTTGTGCCGGTGCTTGAGAATCGGTATTCATGGTAATAAAGTCGTTCAGCGTTATCTGTCTAATTTGTAATCGATTCTATTTGCAATTTATTTTCTTCTATTCTAGGTGATAATTTACGTCAGGTTTCAGTTGACATGAGATTTTTACTACGTTTAAATAGAGCTATGCAAATTTATTAAGGGTGACTCTGTCGACTGCGCTAAATCTTTCTAGTTCTCTCTCTCTCTCTCTCTCTCTCTCTCTCTCTCTCTCTCTCTCTTTCTCTCTCCCGATTGATCTCACAGTGTTGCACGCGTTCTCGGCGTTACTTAGCTCGGTATTATCACAAAGTATTAAATTTCGGTGTCCTTGGCATACTTCTCAATCTCTGGGTAAATCGGAGACATCTCTAGGGTGCTGGGAGCCGACGGTACCGATGCCGGTGATGCTCCGCTACTAGAACCGACATGAAGTCGACGGCAGAGCTCGTCGAGAACCTCGTTGAACACCAGCATGTTCATATTTTGTCCCAACAAATGGATCAAGAGAAAGTCTCCTACCTGGAATCAAAATGATCACATACGTTTAGCATGCAGATGCTAATTGGATCCTAATTTGATAAGTGCTTGTACAAAGCAAGCATCATCTCTGTGGCCTACCTGAGTTTTTCTTATAAGAGCATTAACACCGGCTGGAGTGCCAAACTTGAAGCGCTTCTTGAGGATGGTTTCTCGTGTGCTTGGCAACAGCACCACGGCCATACTATACAGAAGTGCCAGACCAGAGAGTACGGCCAGGATGATGAACCAGAACCAGAGGAATATGTAAATCTTTTCATTGAGAATGTTCAAGGCCAGTATGCAGAGAGCGTCCAACTTCTGGATGGTACCGGACGAACCAAATTTGTGGAAGGTACACTTGGTCACGCGTGGAAAGACTTCCACCATAGGATCAGTACGTTGCTCCTGGTTCATGTTGCTGAATTTGACCACGTCGGTACCGTAGGTCAGGAAGGCTCCACCGAGGAAGGTATCAACGAAGAATATATTTCCAACCTGAAGCAGAGGGTAAAATTATATTTTCCATCCTCAGTTCAAATCATCAAGTTCACTTAAGTCGGCACAGAGCATTGCTCGACACTTACGACATTGATGAAGTTCAGCGCCTCGCAGAAGAAATAACCGGCGGCGTAGCTGTTGTGCAGATGTAACGTCTCGACGATGTACTGGACCAGCCTCTCCATCCTGGCACGTCTTTCCTGTTTGCCATCGATCAACGCGCCACGCATTCCGTCGGTGATCATCCTGATCTTTCCTTCCTCCCACTGCTTCCACATCCAGTGTGGAATGTAGAAGAGAACTCCTTGGAAGAAGAGCATGAACGGTACCCACTGGTAGTACGAATGATACCTCTTGTTTTCGACATCACCACCTAGACCAGGATGGGCTACCTGGGTACCAACTGTCTTGTGAATATTATCTGGTAGAGTGAACGTATACGTTATCCAGCAGAACGTATTTATCACGTGTGCAGGAACAGCATTGTCTGCTATGCAATTGATGGGATCGCCTGTAAAGAAAATCAAAGTAGGCTATAATTAGTTAAATCTATCGATACGAATAAGTGCATCGTCTGAACTTCCATTAATGGTGGTTTAAGTATTTAGAATTGACACTTTTTCTTTTGCAGTGTAACAAGAGTTACTCGACTGCTGATGTCGTTCGTGTAAAAGCTTTTATCCACTCCCAGTATCCTGATCGTATTCAGTCAAGAAGTTTCAAAGGATAAAAGGCACTTCTTCTTCTTTGTCAAGTTTGCAGTTTGAAATAATCAGCTGTGTCAGTGAAATATCAGAAGTTAGACTCTGCATGGAATGATAATCCTCTCGTATACAAACGCTAAATAAACTAATGCTAAATATCTTCAAGAATAATAAACCAGTTTTGCTGTATATACAAAAAGACTGGGCCGATAGATCCGAATCTCTTAGGTCAATATACAGTCAAGGAATAAGAGAAATCTTACCTATGAGATTGTTGGCCGTAACGATGATACAGCAGGCAAAGAGAATCGCAGCTGTGATTCTGTAATGAGCTCTGAAGACCATATTGTCGATAATAGCCTTGTCTATTAAATAACGAACTTTTACGAAGCCCGCTACGGCCGAGACTAAGCCGAAGACCGCCATTGTCTGTGAAAATAAAATAATAAAGAGATAAGAGGACATCATCAAAAAGAGGATATTTATGCGTTTTTAAAGGATTTGATCGACTCTTACAAGATATTACATCGAATCATTATTTAAACGCTCTTCTGGATATAAATGAAAACTGTGATTATTATCCATTCACTGGCACAAAGGGGACACAATGGACGTGTCACCGTTCAACTGCTTATCAGAGACTCCAGATAACATGACACTCCGCATGGAATCCTTTCGCTTTCTTTAAAACTTTTTTACCACTTGGTAAGAACACTCTCAGTATTTTCATACACAAGGAGTAAACCGGTATTATGGTTTTTAATCTTGATCCCCATATTCCTTTACACGTGACTTCATTCATGGGACAAAGAGAGACTTTTGTATAGGATGAATCAGGAAATACCATACATATTAACCATACGTACAGCGCGTGGACGATTCTAAGTGACAAAGTAAGTGGTCAAGAACCGTTACTATATTTGTACAGTTAAGCTAGTTGCTCATTGACGCGATTTCATCACAGTATAATTGTATATAATATTATATATATGCTGGAATGTATATATTTTAAGTAAACAAAAAACTTTGTCAGAAAGGACATAAAGCGTCGTGCAATCAGAAATGAGACAGTGGAAGAAAAATGTATCAACGTATCTTCCAAAGCGATAAGAACCGCAGCCAGTAATATCCCAGGGACGTCCCAGTTACGTCGTTGGAATTTTATTAGTTAATTAATTGAGAGACAAGTCGTGAGGCAGGCGGGACGCGTGCCGTTGCCCAAGGGGTCAATCACACACAAGTTGCTCGTTCAGTGGACATGTTCCTTGCATCGTGGCTGCATTCTGATGCCGTGACAAAGGGTTACGTGCAGCGTGATGGAGGCAAAAGAAAATGGCAGCGTACTCGCAGTCTCCCCTTGGACTTTTGAATACGTTAAAGAGACCTCTTGGCTCACAAGGGTAGACTCCTGTGTCTACGACCCCTCTTCACGTAATCCAATGTATCGTAAAAACGACGATTAAAAGACGTGCGGATACGATAAAAATTTCACAACGAGATGCAGATGAGTAATTTCGCAGTTATTCTAGATACGTAACGAGGAGCTTCAATCATACGACACGTACATATACATATGGACACGCATACTCTGTGCAGTATGAAATTTCAGCCCTGGAAACGCCGGTTGTGTTACGTGTGCAGCTGGAATTCGTTTGGACTAGTTTAATGAATCCAGGAGCAATTGGAGTCTGCCTTTTACATAACACTTGAGATTTTTCCAGTTTTTTTTTTTCATCTAGTAACATTTACACAGTTATCTATTACCGTGGCCAATAGTACTTGACTATTGGCAGCCTTGGAGCAAAGAGTCATTTATGCATTGAAACACTCCGGCCTTTTGCATAATTTTTCATTCGGTTTTTATTTCCCAATGTACAGATGCGTTACGCAAAACTTGGTTAAATGACAAGACCATGACATCCTGTCGAGAATTCCAGGATTTTGTTCGGGACTTCCTTTAGGATTAAATATTCTGAGCTTCTTGGAAAAGGTGCAATGCTTGGTTTTTTTCATCTTTCCTTCTCTCTCTCTTTCTCTGTCTCTCTTGAGTCGTGCAAAAGAGAAAATAAAAACGGAACCGTAAGATGACCGGTTATATACTCTCTATAATCGTAGATACGTAGTTGAGAAAGTACCAGTCATCGGGTTGGGTTTTATTGTAACGAGAATCCCTGTAGCCGAGGCCATCAGACAGTCCCTACTTCTACGGCACATCCACACTGTATATACTGCACTAAAACAATTCTTGGAGACTGTCTGAATTTGAGATTTTTTTTAAAGAAATTTTTTTTCTACCTCTACCAATATCTCTATTTGCCCAGGTGATGGTAAAGTATTATCGTGAGACTCGATATACAAGACGACCAAAATTCTTCCACGTGTGACACCGTACGTCAACCATGAATTGCCCGATGCTATCGCACCGCGTACCAGTGAAAGGACAATGCTTCGACTCCTCTAACAATACGTATACAGTTACTTGAAAACTGTAAGCATTTCAAAAATACTTTTAAGGATCAGCAAACGTCGAAGACTCCACGTCGAATAAGCATATATGAAGTTTTATTAAAATCTCTAGTCCTATCTTCATCGTCAGGACGCATACTACTCCCTGAGAGCGATTATAAAACCGTTTCAAGGCTGTCGCAAGACGTAAAACTCATTCCCATGTATACGACTGCTTATGATAAACTGTCGGAGATTATTCAGGACGTTGCTACGCGTACCAATGGTAGCTGCTGTATAGTGCTTGCATATAATTTTTTATACAATCAGTACCTTAGTCGAACTATAAGAATGAAATTATTGGTGCAGTGTCGTACAATTATGGTAAAAAAGGAAGAAGCAATTTTGAAATGTGATTCACGAACACAATTTGCAAGAAGGAGAGAAAGGTGACTCACACTCTCACGCCTTTAACGGGAAGCTGTAGTCATTGTTTTTTATAGTTCCGAGAAATGGACCTATGGTATGTTTGCTCTTGCCCGGGGGTCCTATACGGACCTCTAGATACAGTATACGTAGACACCTACGGCTGGGTCTAATCTAAAGAGCCATAAAAAAAAAAGGATCAGACACTGCAGTTCTCTTGGGAATATAATATTCTGGAAGACAAAAAGGAAATATGTCTGCTTCATACTATGTACTTCGCTATAGGGGATACCTGGAGAAAGGATATATTGGGAAGACCTATGAATACCCCTTTTATACCGACAAGAGTCGCGTTCGTGAATGCGTCACCCGTTATAGGGATTGCGGAAATGGGTGTAGAATATCAGCCATATTTTATGAATTATGCCGCTAGTCCAGTCTGGACTGTACGCTTTAGCGTATGTCTATATTTAATGATTTTACAGAATGTTTAACCGCAGTATCAAGATTTTGTTTCGTATTACGTCAAGTCTTATCTGCGTATAGGTTATATATTTTAGTATAAGGCTACTATTGGAGTCATACGTAAGTTTTTGTATGAATAACACATGTGGTCCGCATACGGGATATAAACAATTTTGCTACCAGTAGGTCATAGAATGCTTTGTTAATGTTACTGTACTGCTCTAGTACAAATGTCAGTGTTTATTTGTGTACACTTGGTGCACGTGTAAAAATATTATGAAATCTTTTTGCAGTGAGATATAAATAATTTTATCGCTTGAAAGCATTTGCGAGTGAGAGGAAGAAGGATTATACGAGCAAGATAGTATCTGAGAGAGATACAGAGGCTACGAGAATGTCTAGATCAACTAAATTTATTAATTATTCTTAAATGGTCTCTGTGGCTCTCGCCTCCTTGTATCAGTAACCATGTTGATAGTACAGCTTGCTGTGCACAAGAATTCCGCTGCCAGTAGTACCAACTTGTTGATTAGATATTTTATTGCCAATATATCACGTTAATTGTTAATCAGGGTATTTCTTTTTTCGGTTAGCGGGGTTCAAAAGTGCCTTAAGAAAATTACGGCCCTGCTAAGCTTTCCCACGTGTTAGACGTTTTTCCTTGAATACCACGCTAGGGCATTTTGCTCTTAAGGGTTGGAGTACTGTAATGACAAAAAGTTTTGGCTCCGTACGCTTTCTCCGGTATTAAAACCAGTCTAGAGGAGTATATTTTCTCAATAGATTGTACGGACGACCAAAATCAACAAATTGTCTTTACTGGCCGTTGGTCGCGTGAGTCTCTTTCAGATGCAGTATGAAAAAGAACATTTTTGTTTTCAATTTTTTTTAAGGTTGTATCACTCACTTCTGGAACAGGAATTCGAGTAATTGAACTTTTGACATTTCAATTCAGCATTTAGGCGGATGCACAATGGCAGAGCGTAGTACTCGTAAATAGCTGCATTGCTGATTCTAGTATTCTCCATTGGCACAAAAGCGATCGAGCGAAACCAGCATCGGAATAACGGATCGAATGGTTAGACTAACCGCAGTTGGTCACTAGCAACTGGCGATTACGATACTCGCTGCCTCAAGCATTTTAGTCTTGTAAAAAGTGCACTTCACGACCTGTTGCTCTTTTATCGAAACTGATGAGTTGGACTCGTTATCCACCTTAATTAAAATTGATCATTCTGGCTTAATATAAAATAATACAACTGTGTACACGTACGCTAACATTTGGCCGGAAGGTTTTCCGATATTTAACAGTAAGTCCCATCCGGGATTTATCCTTGTTAAATATTCAGTCGAGCGAGATTTACCATAATTATCAATGTCGTTGACCGACTGAGAACATTTTTGTATTGTCTGTCAATAATAGAAAATTTGTTTGGAGATTGAATTTTATTATTCGAATAATAACAATAATCTTGCGGTTTGGTGATTAATTCTCGTAGGATATTTGTGGTACTCGTCGACTGTGTACTCTAAATTATATTGAATTTATTGAAATAGTCTTTGGAATACATTGAAAGTAAATAATTATTGTCGTGTAGTGAATTGGTTTTACTATGAAAAATATTCGCCAATCGAACAAGCGAAATATCGAGACATGCTTCCTGATTGGCTAATGAGAAGCGTCGTCACGGCGTTCTCAAAATCTGCTCCGTGAGGGCAGTGCGTCCGAATGCTGTGCAAATTGTTACGAAAAGTGACTGGTGTATATTTCAAATTTCGTAAAAAACCGTCTCACCTATTATCTTCGTAAACCAACGTCTCCGTAAATTGTGCACGCACCGAGGTCGTCAAAAACTGGCGTAAACTATACAATCGCGCACGACTTCACGTCGTTGAGCCGTATTGAAAAGGACGCGTACCGCGTCAACGGGGCCCGGAGAGCGACTGACTTGACTCGGGGTTCCGGGCCCCTCCACTGCCATATTGTTCCCTAAAGTGGGGGACACCAGGTGTACAGTCTCCAGCTAAAATCCAGGTTCTGCAAATAATTGAATACAATATTCGCAAGGGCCCTGAAGTTTGTCGGTTTTACTGATTTCTAACCTCACTTTCCTACATGTTCCAAATAAATCCTAACGGTTCAACTACCATTCTATTATATTGAGTTTATCATGAGATAGTTAACCCTTGATAACTTAATTGCAGTTCTAGCTACAACATAATTAACCAGATATTATATCCGCAACAAATTTATATATTTAGCTTATTGCCAACAGCCTGTATTATTTGAAATTCCCGTTACAGCCCAATTCCTATATAGAATAAAATGCTTCGCATCAAACCCATGAGTAAGTCCTGTTGACATTTATACTCAGTCTCAAATTACTGTATGATCTATTTGACAGTTAAAACTATGTGAGTCACGACAACGCCCTAATCATCATATCGTGTATCCCATGAACCGCAGCAGCATCTCTTCAGGCTACAGCAAGATGCATCTCCGCGAGCCAAGGTTTTCAGTTTGGTGAATACATGGTAACCATGCCGAGAACCTGTTTCCTACCAAGGCATGCTTTCAGCTCTTTAAAGCTGTTCTTCCTAGAGACTCGTTTCAGGCCCTGGTCATCTCTGGGCCCTTGGCAATTCGTACACGACTCGTTTGGCTCCATTCCTAAGGGCATAATGGTACAGGGCTAAGAAATGCTTCGTCCCGGCAAAGAATTTTCTGCCGACTATCGGTACCACGAGGAAGACACAGGACTGGCAATATCGGTCCCTTCTTCGTTGGCTTTCTTCAGGCTATAAAACACCGTCTGGCCCAGTCTCCCTCCTTTCTCAAGCTGCCTCCCAGGGCCGCATAAACCCCACGGCTAAAGAGAGGGCTATAGTTCCGAGCTACCGGCCGGGGCCTTGTTCATCTGACTGGAAAAAAAAAAAAAAAAAAAAAAAAAAAAAAAAAAAAAAAAAAAAA